CTCTCTTTCAGACAGACAGACAGACAGACACGTACACAGACAGACAGACAGACAGACACGTACACAGACAGACAGACAGACAGACACCAGAAAAAAGGGCACTATGTTCCTTGGTCTGGATTGTAAACATATCACGTCACAGTTATTTTAAAGACAATAGTCATGGGGAAAAAATCATTGCGATAAAAACCAGCATGAGTAGGGTGGCTAGATATCGGACCAATTTAGAATACACGGGTCACGTATTTCGCAAATAAACATTTCTGAACCAACAATACAAATAGAATCTATTCGTGTGAAAATACCGTACATGATGACACTGCACAATGGGTTTGCGGTTAAGATCGAACAAAGAGATCTGTCTATCTTTCTATCCACATATCTATAACTGATGATTTTAAAAGAAATATGAGGGGAGGGATGGAGAGAGAGAGAGAGAGAGAGAGAGAGAGAGAGAGAGAGAGAGAGAGAGAGAGAGAGAGAGAGAGAAAGAGAGAGAGAGAGAGAGAGAGAAAGAGAGAGAGAGAGAGAGAGAGAGAGAGAGAGAGAGAGAGAGAGAGAGAGAGAGAGAGAGAGAGAAGGAATCCCCCCCCCGCACATCCGCAAAAAGAGCAAACAACACCCAACAACACCCCCCCCCCCCCTTTCCCACACAACAGGTTGAAAAAAATAATCGTATGCCCATGCCCCGTAGACCTTATTTTGACGTTCTTAACCAAGAAAAACACACGAATTATTTGAAACGAGCAGCACTCGTATTGTTCTAGTGAACGTAAACACACGGGTAGGGGGTTGGGGGCCAAAGGGGACGTGAGCAAAACAGACGCCTTGTCCAGTAAACTGTTATATTTTGTCTCGCTGGCATGCTCAGCCTTTTCCTTATCTTGCTCTTAGAGCCATTCTAACCGCTGGTATTTTAAAAGCTTCCTGTACGCCTGATCTTTCGTTCTTTCTTTTCTTTTTTTTCTTCTTTTAACTTTAGCAGCGTTCCCTTCAAAGGTGGGCTGTGGTGTGTGTTCTCAGCATGCGGGCTGCCACGCAGCCCTATTGTAGTTGTAGTCGTGAAAACGAAATGCTGCCATTGCTAGCAGGCGAGCCGTGGCCAAGAGGTTGATAGGGCCTGCTCGCGGTTGGAGTTGACGCGAGGCCAAATGCGAGGGCGAGAGAAAGGGCCGTGGAGTCGAGGGCGAAGAAGGGAGGGGGAAAAACACAAAACAAAAAACACACACACAACAAAAATAACTGCCGGGTAGGGGGCGGGACACGCAATAAAAATAGCCAGCCGCATTCTCTCCGTCTTTGTGACATCATTCTGAGTCAGCGTTCATCGTTATTCCTGTAAGGCCAGTAACTGTTGAAGTTAGCTCTCGAAGCCGCATTCGTGTGGGAAGACTTAATTGCATTATACGTCGAATAAATAATTTTCAAACCTTTAAATGAAATATGACGAAGACAACATTCCATAAACGCCATCGCCCAACAATCCTAAAAAGACCATTTTAAAACCCCGATGCGCACCAACTTCGTACACACACACAGAAGGGCAAGCTATGACCTCATTAGATACAACCAATGATAATACATAACAAGATGGGCCACTCAGCCAAAAAAGTGTCCGCAGGAAGTATGCTCTTTGCTTCAGATGGCGCTGCAGTCTGTTTTGAAGCTCTCTTTCGTTTTTCCAGAAGAAGAATAGGAATAGCACCTCCTTGCGTGCGCAGATCGACTGCTGTTCATCAGCAGTTCGGGTACGTTCAGTGCGGAGTTTTAGTTTTTTTTATATTTTAATGACCTCTCGCCTTTCATTCTAAAGTCAAATTAAACGAAGAAAACCATCACCCTTTCCTCCGGAAGAGGTTTTTTGTCAGCGTAACCATTTTAAAAAAGCGTTCTTCCGAAATTTATCCCAAAACTTGCTAGTTTCACTTTGATTTTTAAAAACTCAAGTAGGGTAACTCTGTTCGCAAAGTGCGCTTTTGTGAAGAGGGCGCCACCAAATTTTGAGGACACTTTTTTAATTGGCTCAAAGAGAGAAGTGGCCCATCTTGTTATGTACTATCATTGATACAACTTAGAGTAGATGACGTATCTCCGGAAGAAAACAAATCTCTCACGTTTCAGAAAACAAAACAGTAGTTATCCATAATATGTCTCAAATGATGGATTTGAGCCTAGGTGGAATTTGTTGCCAAGTATCCGATCGAATAAAGACACACACACACACACACATTCACCCTCCCTCTCTCACACACACAGATACACACCAAAGCCAAAGAGAGAGAGAGAGAGAGAGAGAGAGAGAGAGAGAGAGAGAGAAAGAGAGAGAGAGAGAGAGAGAGAGAGAAAGAGAGAGGGGGGGGGGGATGAGAGAGAGAAATCAACGGACACCTTGGGGTGGGGAGAGGTGGTGGACGATTCTACAGGGAGAGACAAAAATGTTTACCCAAGACTTCAAAATTAGCCATAGCGACACTATGAAAAAAAATCACAATGGTGACAGATGACATATTATAAGGCCAGAGATTGTGTACAAACTCTCTCCCGTTAAAGCATATAAGCAAAGCTCAAACCTATTCAAAACTTTCTCAGACTGGCAGACACGTTTACACTTATCAACAGCCCAAAAATGTGTGCGTCAAAATTAGTTTATCTAAATTTCATACAGAGATGTGTTCATCATGTTAGCTTAATTAAGCATTAAACAGTAATCTGTCATGTTCTGAGCGCACTGTTCTTCTTTTTTTTTTTTTAATCAGCGCTTCTGGAATGTTATGCATTCCACACTCAACCTTGTCCCACAGACTTGACACATCAGAATTATATTATATAATATCCACGTCTCCAAAACAAAAACAGGCAAAGTAGAATGACACGCACACATGCAAGATGTATTGTTAAATTCAAGTCACCTATTTTTTTCCCAAATGACAAAGAAACAGGCTGAATTGACATTTTGTTACAGAAGTACAAACTGACATTGTGGTATGTTAGAGATAGTCTAGGCGTCCCTTTATTGGATAAAAGATTTGGCATTTTTTAACTTTAACCATACCCGGATTTATGAGACCATATATTCTCTTCAGCCAGAAACCACACTGAAAGTGCAGTAATTATTAACTCCAGACTCGTAATATTTAAGTTATAGTCACACCTTTGAACCCACTCCTGGGCAATTAGGCCTACTCCATAAACAATAATAAATTATTAGGAAGTGAACTTTGGCCAACAAACATGGGCGGATGAAAATTCCAAAACATTTCAGAATCTATATGCGTAGATAACAGAGAATTTAATCAATACTTCAAAGGTAGGGAGACATCTGGCCCCATTTTGTACACATTACATAGAGTTACTGTTTCAGTAAGCGTGTAAAAAAATGGCTGAATGTAAAATAGTACATTAACAATTTCATATATGGAGGACCACAGAGGAAGTACAACCCACCAATTACCAATTGTGAATTAGTCCAATCTCATCCTAACCCCTCCTCAAAACATGAATTTAAATAAAATAAAATGTAATGACTCAGACCAATCAGCTGATTATGAATATCTTCATCAAAAATAAAGTGAGGTGCCCTTACATAAATGGGGATTGTGGTCTTCTGTTGTTTCTTAGACAATTTAGGTGTAAGAATTTAAAAACTTGAAAAGTTGTTAGTACACAAGTGTGACAATCCTAGGTGTCTTAGCCAGGGATATCAAACTTTTTTCAAAGTGAGCCGAGAATAACAGAGAGAACGCTATTTTATTTGATAATATAATACTGATGTGTTGAAAATGAAAGAATTTGTCACATTAAAGCCAAGCAAGAGTGCGATTCAATCACTATGAAGTCTATTAATTTAATATAAAATACTGAAGTCATAATTTGCACTGTAGAGTTCAATGAAATGATTAAAATAATTTGGTGACCAAGTTCCGAGCATGCTACAACAAATAAGATGACCTTCCAATTTTTTTTTCCTGCACAGTGGCGAGCCAGATGAACTGACCTCATGGGCAGGATCTAACCCATAGGTTGTAACTTTGGTGACCCCTGGCCTACACTATCTCAGAATAATGATGGTATCAGTTTTTAGGCAGCTGTACTTTTCTCTGTTTGTCAAACAATCTTTTCATTTGATCTAATCTTTGGGGGTAATAATTTAGAAAACTTTACCTTGCCCTTTTATCAATTGTATTTCATAAATTCTGTCTCTGACAAGACAAATAATACAGCATGGGGAGGGCTTCTGAAACGAGCGACCACTATGAGACAGAGTAGAACAGAGGGGTAGGGTTTGGGGTAGGGTTAGGGTTAGGTCTCTTCTTTTTGTTTGTTGGGGTGGTCGCTCGTTACAGAAGTTCCCAGCGTGTGTAAATTCCTTCTTAAAGTGCATTTGTAAAAGAAACTCCCACCCCTTTGGGAAAAAAAATAAAGCAGGCCACGGGGATAGGCTGGTATGTTATCTGAACAGAGTGGGAATTCCTGTTTATTTAGCCTATCAAATCAAAGAGAGTGACTAAAGAAAGGTCTACTCAATGTGACTCAATCATGGAACAATTTATCATCAATCATACTTTGAATGAAACCTTCTTGGTGAAGCTGAAACAAACTTTGAAAGTCGGTGATATATATATATATATATAAAAACAGAGTATTACTTAAATTAATAATGTAAAAGAAAAAGGCAAGAAATGAGCACTTCTGAACAGATGATTCTCATTTCTATACTATAAAAACACAGATATTCCATTCCTCAGTAAATCGGCAACCTCCAGACGTAAAAAATTAACCTTTGAAGTTCTGAATTCTCAATGAAAGATAATCACAAAAAACATACTGATAAGTGATCCCTAGAGAGAAAAAAAGTCTTTGAAAGAATAAAGCAAGAATAGGAAAGAAAAGCAAGCTTTCCTTTTCTAGACTACCCACTCGTCTCATTTGTCCCACTATAAAGCAAGGAACTGCCACACAGTGCAACAACATATACCACAATAAAGAAATAAAGAACTTACCAAAATAATCCCCAGCTGCATGATCCATTTCATCTTCCAGCTGTTGTGTAAGAGCTGCCAATTTACGCTCAGCATCTGACGGACCTTTATTCTTGGGTGGTGTCACTTGAAATGCTAAACCCGGTTTCATACCTGGTGACATGCCTGACAGGTCAGACGAAGCTGTCGAGCCGGTCTGAACCTGTATTCCTTGAACAGGTGCCACAAGGCGAACATTTGCTTTCTGCTGTGTACTGGCAGCGCTGAGTTTGAGTGATGTCTGCACATCGTGCGGACCATGATAAGGTGGAGGAGGTTCAAGTTCACCTCCCTGCTGAGAAGATGGATAATCCGAAGGTTTCTTTCCAGAGGCCACTGCTGCTCCAGAGATGCTCATATCCCGTTCCAGTTGCTGGGTGAGAGCAGCCACTGCTCGCTCCGCATCTGAGTCTGCTGCTTTGTTGAGAGGGACACGAGCAGGGAGCGAAGGTGGGGCATTTTGAGCGACAGATGAAGAAGCAGCATGAGGATTTCCTTGAGACAGATTTGTCGATGAGACAGCGGATGAATTCTGGGACATGACGGGTACATGAACGCCACCATTGTGGATTTGATTTGGAATCTGGTTGTTGACGCTGTGTGCATACGACGAAGTGTGAACACTTACAGCTGTCTGTGGCGGCAGAGTTCTTTGTCTGGGGTCTGTGTAAATGTGCGGAGGGGCAGGTTCGTTAAATCTGTTGTCACTGAGTAGTGGGACATTCCTGGGACCAAGGCTTATAATTCCCTGTGACGTTTGCGGGTACAAAATAGACATTTGATCTAAGTCTGCTCTCTGGACCTGAGAGCCAACTCTTGGATTAACAACGCCAGAAAACTTGTCCACTGAAGGACCTGCAAGGCTGGCTCTGGGACTAGAGTGCTTTGAATCAACACTACCTGGAGTACTCCAGTTTGATCGAGGACTAGCAAGAACCAGACTTGCCCGAGGGCTGCCAAATTTTTGCTCATAATAAGCTGGGTTGGTGAGGCTTGTGCGAGGACTGGAGCTTTTGGAATCTCCACCACTACCAACACTAGAGCGGGGGCTGGAGTAGTTAGAATTTGTGTTGGCTGAGGAGGAACCATGGTGATACACCGTTTGGTATTGAACCGCAATCTGGTGTGATTGAGACGAGCCGGCCCGTGCTGCAGAATTGATGAGCGCAGCTTTAGGCGCTGGGTACCGGGTACCTCCTATCATCACATTTCTGCTGTCCGCTGAGGGCGGCAAAACGGTGTTCATCGGGGACATAGACTTGACCGCACCTTGCCAGTGTAAAGACCCCGGGTTAGGAGCTCCTCCAGACAGGCCAACATTATTCCCTAGCATGGACGGGGGGATCGGGGGAGGCTTCGAGTCCCTCACGCTTATACTGCTCACGAAAGTAGCACGCTGGTCCGTACTGTGTAGCCCACCTCCGCTATGCATTTTGTCAGCTCTGTCGAAACTACCGACACCACCACCAATAGATCCTGTATTATAAGTGGAAGATTTGCCGTTCACCTGAGCCTGATGACTGGGAGAATCCTGTTGTCCCGAAGTTGTATGAGAAGTAAAGACCGTTTCTTTATACCTGATATTTTCGGAGTCCGGCGAATAACTTCCCGATTGATGCACACCAGAAAAACTTGTAGGAAAATCCGACGTATTTCTATTAAAATTCAGAACATTGATTTTCACATCACGCCATTGCGATTCATTCACAACACCAACACCACTTTCACTTAAGTCCACACCATGCGGATGATTTCCTTGTTTGAAACAGTTCACATCTTTACTTCCCCCGCCACTATGCACTGCCATAACCCTCGAGAGGGCTCACAGACCATAAACTTGAATTCCGTAAATACTACGGCCCGTCAAAAAAACTCCAGCCCCTCTTTCGATTCGATGACTACAATACTAAGCATGCGGAGTAATACCTCAATCGTGTTTCCAATCCAAGCGCAGGTGCAAGCCGCGTCACTACGAGATCGAAAAATGCCGCGTCACAAAACAACAACACATTCTTCTATACCAAACATAAGCTTTTCTAGAATAATCTACGGCATGGAATCTAAGTTTAGAGTAATAACTATATAAACTCACTTTCTGAAACTTGTGCTCTGATAACCAAGCAAATAACAAAGCATTACTTCCAGTGGGAGGAAAAATAACGGCGATTTATGACGCCGCCTTTGAAGTTCTGAAGCAAATTCCGAAAGTAGGCAGTGCTTTTCTTCCTCTGCTGTGGGAGAGTTACGATTGACCTGAGATAATGGCAAAGGCCGAAGTGTAGACCCGAGGCGTCAGAGAGGGGGATTTAAACATAGTTGGACTCGAGTGCTATATTATTATAATTTATAAGTCAAGCTCGACCGTTATAGGGCTTGACGAAGCGGTCACCCCAACCTCTCTTCTTCATTCTTACTCTGCTCCTGACTGTTCTTCTGTTGAATAGTTCTAAAACAGTCGCATCTCAAACAAAGATGCCATTAGGCCTATCCCTCCCCTGCCCTCCAGGGGAAAAATAAAGATCTGAAATATAATATAAAGTATAATATAAATAATAACTCGAGACGGCTAAAAACAACACTAGTCCAAAATATCAGTGCTGTCGAAACTTCCATTATTAGGAAATTTTGTTTTTAATAGAGCGATACTTTTGAGCAGAAATATCATCCAATAATAGTAATAGTGATTTTAAAAAACCCAACAAACTACTCAATCATAATCTTTAAGCTTGAAAAACAAAAACAAAATTATATTGAGGAACTTAATAAATGTATGTGAAACCTAGCTCTGACAAATAAAAGAACAGGAAAAAACCCTGGAGCCACCACTTTGGGAGTCAGTGCAGTTAGACGCAAATTCTCGAAGTAAATTATTAAAGTTGTTGGTTCCCTTCGTCATTAACAGGACGATAACAGTTATTTCCCCTTGTGCACCCTTAGCAAAAAGTCGATCATGTTCGCAATCCAACTTCCTAATTCATATTACAATTTAATTTAATTTAAATAAAGCGGATTCCTATGTATAAATGTAATTTGTTCATGAGATCACAGGATTCTACGATTACGCGATTAAAAGTTAGAGTGTTTTTTGTTTTGGTTGTGCTGTGAAGATATCTACAGGTGGCAATACATAATATATAAAATGGGGGAGCTTTTTCAAACTTTATTGATGAAGCTTGAGATTCATCACAGCCACTTTCGGTCTAAAAGTTGTCCCCAGTCTCGTTCCTTCCAAGAAAGAAAAAAAAAGCCAAAAAAGTATTTTTAATTCTTTACTTCTTTAAAGTTTAAAGTTCTGAGACAATTCTACATGGCTGAGCACAGTATGAAATTTTCCTGGTGTGTGGGCTGAGGTGTTTGTTCTCAGGTTTCAAAAGAAAGGTAATGTACTCAACCCCATGGTCAGTCAGGTAGACCGTCGCATGGATTGAGACCAAAGATAGCTATACGCACTCCACAGACAGCAAGTCTATAAAGGTGTCCTGCATAGGACTGTACTGGCACTTTAGGGAAATACATGTGTATTGTAAAGCTATAAGCAGTTTCCGCACTTTGACTTTTGGATTTGTTTACTCAAGTATTGTTGCCACGTGGAAGGCAGTACTGCTCTTACTGGGTCAGATTCCTATGCCTTTTGCGATGCTTGAATTCGAACATGATTTCCGAGTTGCAGATGAGGTCTTCTGGCACTGTCATTATTTAATCATTTATTGTATTTGAATAAAGACATACAGAGTGGCATACCCCAACTCCCCACCCCCTCCCCCCAAAAAAAACGCCATTTAAAAAACAACTATAGTGAGCTCCTTGAAAAACTCAAAATAATTAATTCGCCTTTGCTAATTAGAGTAAAGGTCACTTGAAAACAAACAAAAAGAAAGAAAAGAAAGCAAGGTCAAGTGGTGGCAACATATTGATGGATGACCATTGTCTGGGCCCTTGAATTACGTTCGAAGCACATGCAGATGTACCCCAAAGAAGAGCAAATTTCACTTTGGTCATGAGTAAAGCTGTCTTTTTATTTAGATCTCCACTTCAAGAAGCCCCATTCAAACCTTTACTGTACTGTATGTAGCCTTAAGATATAATACATACATGTGTATAGATGTAAAATGAAGGCATAATTACTACATGAGCTGAGTGCCATTCATACACCACAGAGCTGTCAGTTTTATTGTAAAGGCACCATCTTTTCTTCACATTTACTACATCTTCTATCCCGCACTATTATACCGATCTGCTGGTCGAGGATCCAATACATCAAAAAGTAGGTCCAAATTAATACCACATAAAAATAGCCACAACCCCTCACGCTACCCCTCCCCTCCCCCCTCCAAAAGAAAAACAACATACAAAAGAACAAACAAACAACCCAACTGAGCGTGTTTGTTTTTTAGGAGGGAGGAGCACATTGAGGCCATAATGAAAAAAGACAGACAGACACTTCAGACAGAAAAAAAGAGGAAAAGAAATGAAGTTGGGCAGCATCTTCAATCACCTCGTTGTGTGCATGAGAGAGCGACAGAATCTAAAGACTACAGACAGCACAAGACCACTACAATACATGCAGTTGCCTTTCGACTGTGAGCACTAACATTTCACAGTTCTCTTCCATGACCGGAAGTAGATAAAGAAGCAACAACGATAAAAGATAAACCAAACACGAATAAACATGAATGACTGAGCATTTTAATCACATCTTGGTAGAACATGTATGTACAAAAATGGAAATAAAAAAGGAACAATCAACAATTAGATTAACAAATGCATGAAAAGAGGAATGCAAGTGATGTAATCCAATCTTATGCAATGAGATCAAGATTAATCATGAACAACATATTAGCGGAAAAAGCAGGCTTTTTCCTGTTCTTGCATTATCTGTTTGAGTGAGCGCCTTTGAGGATCAAATTTACAAGGAAATCTGCTTTTGCTTGAATTCAGTACCCGAAGGTCTGTAGCTGATAAACTTTTGGTCCTTTTTTCAGTAGGAATCCTTGATTGTTCAATGATGAGATGAATCCTTCAAAATCAGGAATGTGCATCCCGATGTCCTGAAATGCAAATGACAAGTCAGTATAAATTCATGGTATTCACTTAAAAATTATGATCAACACAAGTCCAGGAAATGATCACAGGAAAAATTACGAAGATTTACAAAATGTGACGAACAGCCTACTGAAGGAACTGTGCATTTGTGTAAGGAAACAAACCTTCATAAAAAAACCCCACAGTGACATGGCGTAACAGGACTTGAAACAATGGCCAAGACAGCAAAGCAAAGGTGGGAGCAGAAGCCTCTAAAAACATCTTATGGAATAAGCTAGGTGAGTTTCCCAATTTTCTTGATCGATTATAAATGTTTTAACCTCTCCATCAACACAATTTTGATCTTTTAGGGAGGTTGGATGCTTCCGAACTGCCTGTCCCTACCAAGCTGGGCTGAATGGGAAAATGGGATACAGCATCTCAGCAGAAAGATAAAGACATCAATTTAAATAACTTTCTCATGCCAATATATAAACTGACATCTTCTGCATGAAACTACAAATAGCTAACTACAATAATAACGTAGATGCCGGTCAGATTTGCCTGCCAACAAAATTGCGCGGGCTGCCAAGTAAACTAGGTAAGTCATATTTTTCAAATTTTACAGGAGAGACAAAAACAGATTTTCTGGAAGCGTTTCGGGAGGTTGAACTTCATTTTCATAGGGCAGCTACAAATGCCATGACATTAGGCTCCCTTATGAAAATAAAGTTCATAAACCCAAAACGCTTCAAGAAAATCAATTTTTGTCTCTCCTATACAATTTGAAAAACACGACTTGCCACAGTTCACTATTGGCGGCCCTCGAAATGTTACACAAGATAATAACGTGAGTATCTCAGGCAGAGTTACAAAGCAGTGCCATTTGGTTTTGATGTTTCATTCACCTTTGAAAGTTGTCTGATCTGCTGAATTGTAAAGATGTTATTGTATGTTTGCTCAGCTGCTCTCTGTAGGGCAGACACAAATCGCTTGGGCTGTGGGAGAAGAAAAGATCATGTATCAAAACGTTATCACACTGTGAGTCTAGTGCACATAGAGATTACCTATCACATCCTGCATAGCAAAATAGCTCACACAGCCATGCTTGATACTGCAAGTGTTTTTCAAAAGTCCAAAAATATAAACACAATTTTTTTTTCAAAATAAGGACTCCAGACATTCAATTCAGAAAAGAGAGAAATAGGATCTTATATTATTTATGAATTGGCGACTTCCCTAAACGCTTCTCCAACTCTAGTTGGCACTTAACCCTTTATTATCTGATGCTGAAATGATATCACAGCATGATGACCTAAAATGATTCCTGGCTACCTGGGAACATTTTGCTACGGAAAGTCAAGGTTCCAAGCTCCTCACACATGCAGGAAGCAAAAACATTCACTAGCTCCAGGACTATCTAAATTAAAATACTAACGTAGTTACCAGACATACAAAAGAGGTCAACCTTAAATTGCCACAAATAAAAATCACTGCAAAAGAACAACTGGCCTAAAAATCACTTCCTTAAAACTTTTGAGCAATGCCTCAGGATATGAAACGAACTCTTTCAATCTTTTAGTATGAGCTTTAACTTATGTGTTTTCTTGCTATAGCATTAAAATGAGTACCTCAAAACATTTGGGTCGCCTGGCAGCGCTGGGTGGAACAGATATATGCCTAATCATTTGTCCCATGACAGCAACAATAAGCAAACAAGCCCAAAACAAATGTCTCACACCTGACCTTGCCTGTCCAACACTCACCTGAGAACGGCCACTCATTCCTGACCCATGCTGTGACCTCTGGAAGTCCAACCAGCCAAACTGGTCCGAGTACACCTCCTGCATGCTAAGGAAGAAGAGCACAGAACACAAGGAATGATACTTGCAGTTTATTACAAGTGACCGGCAAGCTGAAATCTTTAAATGAACAAGTTTCCGCACCATCATCAAACTTACCTCACACATGATACTCTCTTTCTCAACAAAGCAGGAACAAATCAGGAGAAAAAAGCACTACAAAAGGTATCTATTCAATTCTTTCGTTTGAATGACATCCGACTTCAGCCACTTGGGTCAACCAAGTCATGACTGCTAAAGGTCTACAGGCACACAGTAGAGACACCAATGGTTTGCAACTGATTTCAAACATCTACTTTTGTCCGGAGCCTAGTCTAGCAACAGCATCCTTCACCATTTCATCAAAGTTGACTCAGGAGGCTACATCCGAGTTCATATTTATACTTTTGTAAATGGTTTCCATTCTCATCAAGACAATCTAGATCATTTAGGAGGATGGTTGCTTAAATCTGGCTATTTAGGGACAAACGGGCAAAGAATGGTACAAAATCCCAGCCAACAGATGGAGATGCTTAATTAACAAAAACAACTTCTCAACATAGTAATCAAACTCACATCTTCATTGAGCAAGATAAAGAGCCTAGCCATTACACTGCAGATGCTGATCATCAGAGTGCTTTGCAAATGAGAGCAAATGCCCAAGTAATTCATGATAAGGTTAGTCACAAGACAATGCAAGCATAATGTCAACCTATATACTTCATAATGCAAGAGAATTGTTGGGAAGCTTTTCGAATCAGTCAGAAAGAGAAGCTGGCATCATGCCCACTGCGATTAGCCCATTTGTCCCTTCCTGGCAAGATTTACAAGAAACATGGGAACATGGAACCTCAGACAATTCTGGAAGTTTATCTTAAAACGGGAGACCTCCTCAAAAATAAAGCTGAGAGAGATACCTATGCTTCATGATCTCCACCACATCCTCAGCGTCTTCTCTGGTGGCCACTTCCCTCAGTTCCAGTCTGGCTCGAGCCTCCGTCAGTCTGTAAGCAGAAAGTTAGTTCTGTAAACAAAAACTTTGTCTGGACATTTACTCTTGGAATCTTGAAATAAGGCATCAAGTGAAAATGAATAAAACAAAATTTCATAAAACTCATACAACTGCTGATGAGTAAAAACAAAAGAACATAGATACAATAATCTAAGTCTAGATTAACAGCCCAACATTGAGGTAACAAAAATGTCAATTTCTAAAAAGATGATTTCAATAAATCTCCATGATAACTCATAAAATTTGAATGCAGATGAAAGTGAAGCCTATACTGCCACAAAGAGACTACGATATCAAATAAATACAAAAATAGAAATGACTTTTCTTGATGCTCATGATTCAGGAAAATGAAAATCAAGGAGTAAAAAGTACATTTATCATCTCTGTTCAAACACTTTTTTCCTTATGATGGGCTATTCTCAAAAAGGTGAGTGTGGTGACATTGTGGTGTGACTGAACAAGAGGGATTGGGGGGAACATTATGGCTACTTCAAAATAAGTAGCAATTAGACCTTTCTGTAACCCCTTGACTGCACTAGAAACATCTCATACGTCTCAATAATTCCCCCGCCCAGTGCTGTGTAAACATATCTCGTACAGTGGCTAAAACCCTGGTATTATGGCTTGTTAGGTTGTTTTGCGCAGATCTTGTCACTAGATGAATTTATCTCTTTCTATTGATATAGTTTAACAGTTTTACCAATCTGTCTCTTATAATAAGCAAACAAACGTTGACTGAAGATTGTGGCCGGTGATGTCTTGCTCACGGTAGAATTTTCCAACATGTGATGTGTGTATGTGGTGAGCAGTCAAGGTGCTGATTTTGCAGCAAAGAAGACATAACTGTTAAGATAAAGTTCAGAATGAAAACTGCGTCAATACCTGATCAAAGACTCAAGTTGTCGGGTTGTGATTGGGGTGCTGTCTTGACTCTGATGATGCTTGCGTAGGGTTAAATAAAACTCCTGGGGAGAAATCAAAGCATGAGGAAAGCATTAGTCTATTGTCTATGCAATGAACATGAATGAAAAACTTTTAGCTTTGATTTGTTTGCTTATCTGAGTAAAGAGAAGTAAATCAACACAATGAAAATAATTTAGTACAGGGAAGCAGGGAAGAGGAAGACTGACAGTAGACAGGAACAACACAGGGAATGAAAAGAAGTAAGATCTACCAGAGGTGACCTTCAACCACTTGCTAGTTTTGATTAAGTCGGCCGAATTTTGGTAAGGCACAAGAGAACCAAGAAATTGTAGGTTTGTCAGTAACAGTAAGTCAGCCATGTAATAGGAAAGAGCAATACAACTGTGTTAGAAACTTACAGGAGCTAATATATCTCCTACTGCCTTTGGTTCCTATATAATTACTTTTTCCAGATCCTTTAAGACATTAGTACCTTATATTATCAAGTAAGTCTAAAATCTTAAGCTGATTTTAAGACAAGCACATATGCACACTAATTATAAATTAGAGCAAGGAAAACCAAGCCAGACAATTACAAAGTGATAGCAAAAAAATAAAGCATACAAGTGGTGTCCTTCAACTCACAGTTCCAAAATATTTTGCTTCATGGTGCTGAATTTACAATCATCTGTTATTTCCAGGAAACAAATAGAACTTTTCTATCAAAGGACAACATTCCTTTAGTCTATACAAAACAAACTATTAAAATTTTAATTGTTCTGTCAAGATCTAATTCTGAGATCATGGCGTTTTGAAAATACTTTGCTATTGCTGTGCAACAAGTGCAAGCCACTAACCTTTCCCTTCTTCACCACTTACCTGTATGACAATGGCAGCTTCTGGTCCAACCTTGGGATGTACATATTTCCTTGCGTAGCCCACATACTGTAGTGTAAAGTGATGAAATTAGGATTGAAGGTTCATAACAAAAGACCACTTGAAGAAAATGACACATCTTTCAGTACAGCTGTTATGAGGCTCGAACTTTGTATTTGTACTGGATATTTAAAAATCAATGAAAAAACAAACTACATAATAATATGTAATATAAAAAGATGAAATCACACACAAGTGCTTATCGATAATGAAGGAGAATGACAAACAGGAAGCAGAGAAACAAAAAAGACATGAGAGGAAAAATGTCAAACAGAAAGAAAATGTTTCTGGTGTTTAGGACAGTTTTGATACCACAAGGTCCACTAAGTGACATAAAACATTGAGTAATTAGAGTAAAACTAATATTATATATATTAACAAGAGCAGAAAATAAGCATCAATCGAAAGTAAGAGAAAATTACCCCAAAACTAAGACAAAGAATAAAAACAAACAAATTTCAAGCACAATATCACATGAATCAACAACAACAGAATGTTAACTTTTTGAAAGGTAGTAATGGAAGGAAGTACAGAGAGAGAAAAGAAAAAAAAACCCCCCAAACAAATAGATGGGCTTTGTGTAAAGATTTTTACAGCAAAGGGACAAAACAGCAGCTGCATTTTTTCCTATATGTAGACTACTGAAATACTGACACAGTAAAAGAAGAAAAAAGAGCAGACCACAACACAAAATACCCATATGACAAGAGAAAATAGAAAACAAGAGACATTGGTTTTGGCTTTTTAAAGAAATAAATGGTTAATTTGAATAATCAAGTGACATGCCAAGAGGAGATTAAACAGAATGAGGGGTGAAAGATTAGACGGAAAAATGGAGAAGGAAAGGGGAACTCCAACCTTTCTGAGAAGTTGGTGAGGGATGGGATCGGTCACATCAGCTCGGCTGCTCTTGAGGCGTTCACTCAGAGGTTTATCTCTCTCCCACTGCAGGCGAGAGTCACTCAACTGGACATAAAGTGCCAGGAAAACACAGGATGAAATTAGGACAAAAACTTTTTAAAAAATAGAATAGTGCACTATAAAAGATGAAATATAAAATTGCTTTATTGCCTCTTTCAGATATTTTTCTCACCATGGAATTGATAAGGACACACAAATCACATAACTTCACATGTATACAAAGGAAACCCCTACCGCCCCCCCTCCCCCCCAAAAAAAAATTCAAATAAAAACACACATACAACCCCCCCCCCCACTGTTGGTTGCAATATTGTAGTTCCTTGTTTTAGAAAAAGGGTTAAGCCTTCTAGCTCAAAGACACACCTTAGTGACTCAAGAGTGGTTGTCTTTTGACAATGCTTTTAATTTTTCACAGACTAGATTCATTGACCTCTCCACCGCTTGGGCCCCCAAGTTACTATCTTAGGAAATGAATTTTTCGACACTCACAACCAACTCAAGGTACACCATAAGCATGAATATAATGAGCTAAAACTTTATTAACAATGAATATCATGGGAATGAGAAAGAAAATGAACCAGTAGTTTACGTGAAGACAGCAAGTATTAGTGTGAAAGTAATTGTGCATGTCGTATGAAAGAAGGATAATAAAGTAAAGATGAGCTGAGCTGTGTTGCAACTGTAGTCTGCTGAAAGTTAACTTGACAACTGGCACATTTTGTGAAAGGAACAAACTAAATAGATATCAAAATGACAGAAATTAATAAAAATGAAAAGATCACACAGTAGTGCAAGCCTACCATCTGTTGTAAAGCTGAATAGATATCAGAATCTAGTACTGAAAATAGAGAGGAGAAAACTCAAACTTCAATGTCAATAATGATTATACTATACAGGGTGTCCAAAAAGTCGCGCACCATCCTGAAACACACTTATTGTTGTCGCGCACCATCCTGAAACACACTTATTGTTGTCGCGCACCATCCTGAAACACACTTATTGTTGTCGCGCACCATCCTGAAACACACTTATTGTTGTCGCGCACCATCCTGAAACACACTTATTGTTGTCGCGCACCATCCTGAAACACACTTATTGTTGTCGTGCACCATCCTGAAACACACTTATTGTTGTCGCGCACCATCCTGAAACACACTTATTGTTGTCGCGCACCATCCTGAAACACACTTATTGTTGTCGCGCACCATCCTGAAATACACTTATTGTTGTCGCGCATCATCCTGAAACACACTTATTGTTAAAGATGCTCAAATTGAGCACCATTTTCATTAATACAACTCTCTACTCTCTGCAAAAAGCTGTTTTTAACTTTCCTTAAGGTATCTAGATGGATGTTGTGATACTCAATTGTGATTGCATGTCTCAATTCGTCAAGAGAGCTTGGACAGAGACAAAAAAAAGATTTTTAGGATGGTGCACAGCTTTTTGGACTCCCCGTATATTATGCTGTAAAAAGATGTAACGAAAAAAATTTATGAGATGGATAATAAATATAAAAAGCCACTTACTTCATCCATAAACCCATAAAACTCTTTATCAGTTTTTTAAAGTATTTCAGCCCATGAGGATATTCCTTTATGATGTTTCCATATATATAAAGGAGAAAAATTAAAAATTTCTTCACAACTTCTTTCATACCTGATTATGTTGAAGGCTTGCCATTGGATTTCCCGATGAACTGAGAAATAAAAGTGTTAAAATTAATTTTTTAAACCAGTCAATTTGAAAGATAAGAGATTGCCTATCTTTCTACACTCTTTGCTTTCAAGAATATAAGATAAAAAGAAAACCTTTAGCAATTAAATTCTTCTTCCTCATTCTTCATAAAATATGGCAATGCAAGGCACCCTCACAAAATGCAGCAGTCTGTTCAAAAGGTCTAAAAAAGTTTGTCTCCAAGTGGCTTTGACACCAACCACTTGGCCACTGTGAGACTGTCTTTTATCTAAACAATTGAAATAGTATTATAATAACAAAAATAACAATGACAAAAACAAATATCTGCTCTTTCATCACTTTTGTCAAGAATAAAACTAGTCAAGGATATTTAGGAGTAGAACCATGTACATCAATGTCAGTCTCCAGGTACTTGAAACTAAGCTAAATGAAAGGCAATTTGAAAAGTAAAGGGAAATTACCTAATTGTCGGGAATCCATGTACGTACGTCTCTTGTGCATCAAATCTAGTGTTGGAGCACAGATTAGATTTACATTGTAGTATGAGATCACAGAAAAACGGTAGGAACTAATTATGTTACCTTTTCGTGCCAGCATGCAGCGCCATCACATGTTCGGAGAGAATGCAGTCCATTTCCTAAGTGGACAAAATGTAGAAAAATATTTACAGGCCAAAAACTTTTATGGTTAACCAATATGTGTACATAAAAACATCATGCCTAAAATAGGTAGTCATGAGAAGAACCTTCAGCACGCTTTCCAAACTACTATGTATGTAGGCCAACATAATATGTATGAACGAACCTATCCGTCTCGATGATCTAGACAAGTATACCACTGTGAGCCAGCAAAATATGTCTTTACTATTTTATTCACATTATTCAGCATCCACTTATTAATAGCAATGTGGTATACCCTAATACACTGAAAATAGCAGAAGCCAAAATCATGACAGCACATAAAGCAGTAAGGACATACGTGTCTCTGGTTGACCTAGACTTTAAGGAGGGTTGGACAAAACCCCAAACCAAACAGAATAATAATAGACTGCATTTATATAATGTACATCTCTACTGCTACAAAAAGTAAGCTCCTTGCACTTTTACCCCCGCAGACCATATACCATTCCAAAACATTCTCAGCTTCTTGGGAAACACTCAGGGAAAGCTGCCATTTTACAAGCGTTCGAAGACTAACACACTCTATAGTCTTCTGCTGGCTACCCAATCTCACCTAGGTGAAGTGAGGAATACTTGTGTAAATTGCCTCACCTTTTGATACAAATTGAGACCAGTAGTAAGACGGGCCGACCTACCACTAGCCTACCGATGCCACCAAGTACCTACCTCATCTGGCTTGTCTAACATGATAAACACCAGGTCAAATCTAGACAGCAACGCACTTCCCATCCTGTTCAGGGGTCCGCAAAACAAAAAGAACGCATTTTCTATTTGTAAACAGTACTTTCATTACATAAAAAAGACTGATTTGACATTTTTTCTTTATAAAAAAGGTTAACATAGATATAACTTAATATAATTACAAAAATACAACTTCAGTGGGGGGGGGGGAAGATAAATTTAAATAAAAACCAGTTAGGGGATGATAGAAAAACACCAAAAACTGACTCAATACGATCATTGCATTGAAATTCTGGTGGACCATTTTTGGGAAAGAGCATATAACGAAGCAATAAAAAAGGAAAACTAAAGAGAAAACTTTGTGAAGAGTTTTTTAAACTAAAGAACCTGTTAGTAACTATAGGCACATAAAGCTAAGGTGACCAGCATTATAAAACAAAGCAAATAAAATTGTGTTTTCATTTAAATCCCTTCCAAGTAATTAATTTCAACAGAATGGATCAAAAATGTTTTTAAAAAATAAAGTAAATTCAGTAGTAGTTTCAGTTTCAGTGGCAAAGGCCTTCATAATCTAAGAATCAAGAACAAAAATACACTGCTGTACATAAGACTTGCATAAAGCATTACATAGGACCATTAAGATAGCAACACACTCACTTAAGGTTTTCAGAGACAGTTTTCCCTTTATTGTAATGGCCTCCAACAGGGTTTGCCGCAGCCAAAATAGATGTCCTTGCTGGTAGACTGCAAACATTCAAGACAGAGACACAGTGATATTTCTAAGCTTTTTTCCTCATCAAAACAAAATGTAAAACAGAAGACAACAACGGCATGCACCTTTCTACTTATGAGCCCAAAAGCCAATCTGAATTTACCACACAAAAATAAGACGTGAAAGTCTTCAAAAACATAAACAAATGAACCAAATCTTGCAATTTGTCACATCTAAAACACATTAACCTAATGTGCTAAAAAAAGTATACAAATTATTAAAGTGTTAATTATAGTCTCACACAGTTTACCCAATAACTCCTTTGGCCTGCCTGTTCACTAAAAATAGCAATGTTAAAACATCTTTCTTTGGGGTCCAGCTTCTTATCTGAGAAGTGGAAAGTAACAAAAAGAGGACTCTAAGATAAAAAAAAGGCACTGACCTGCACACAATGCCAGCCTTTGCGATGCTGATGCTTTGTTGTTCCTAGGAAAGAATAAATGAGCCACAGATGTAGTACGGAGACCATGAAAATGTTGAAATAAAGTACTAAAAGATTTTCCTCAATTTACATTATGATCTATGGAATGAGGGTGTACACTTGATGAGTCAGCATATTATAATTTTTAAGAGCAGAAAAATATGCATTTTCTAAATTTTTTCTCCCAAAACATTTCTAGGTTACTTTTTAAAAAATGCATTATAACACTGGCAGACAAAAACTGTAATTACAGAAAAAGATTGTTGTTGTTCTTATCGATCCAGCAACAGCTGGGCTCTCGCCCTTCTGTCCAATGCCATGTAGTGATAAGTGCAGGTTTTCTGCAGTTTCTGTAATGTTCCATAGAGTGTGTTGTCAATGTTAGGTCTCGGAGGGAGAAGGGTAGCTCTGATGATGTCATTTAGGGCTGTGCAGTGGAACAGGTGATGCTCCACAGTCTCATAGGCATAGTCACACAAGGGACACATTGGAGGAAGTTCCCGGTTTGTTCTGTTCAGGTGGAAGTTGAGCTGTATATGTTCTGTTCGTGGGTGGAAGATCGTGGTCCGTTTCTTTCTCTGAAGGCGGTTGATATTGTCATTCCTTTTTGTTGTGGTCATATGTTTGAAAACTGCTCTGCCTGTCTTTCCCAGGGCCCATCTGTTCATCCAATCTTGTTTGTTGTTGCTTTTGATGATGTTTTGCAGTGTTGTATGAAGTTGGAGTGTTGGGTTGTTCCTGTCTAGATCCCCGTTTGGCAAGTGTGTCTGCTCTGTCATTTCCAGGTAAGTCTGAGTGTCCGGGGACCCACTGCATTACTAGGTTGATGCCACAGGATGTTATCAGAGCAGAAAAAGATAAAGTTCGCGAAACATTTTAAAAAAAAAATGAATCACATATTGTACAGACTTTGAAATCATTCTTACTTCCCATTTTCAGAGTTCCACCACAATACATTTATTAGGTACAAAGTTTACGGAAGTTCTTAAAAAAAAAACCCCAAACAACTTAAAATATACCACTTTGCTTAACAAAGGAAAAAAAAACTTCATCGAATAATTCAAGTAATACCATGGCCTCTAGTAGTGCCTGATGCTGCGAACCCATCTTGTCAAATTCATCAATGCAACAACAGCCTTGGTCTGCTAACACAAGAGCTCCTGCTTCTAAGGCATAATCTCCAGAGCCACTCTCCTTGGACAGGGTTACCTGATTGGAAAACAAAAAATGAACAGGTCATATGAAAATAAAAATGGTGAAATGGTATAGGTTTAATGCCCCTATCAACACTGTTAGCTTATTTAAGAGGTGGGATCTCTGAGTTTACTGTCAATTTCCAAAATGACCGAGCCAAGTGGGAAATTCATGTAAAGTGCCTTTCCCAAGGACATGGGGGTGGACAGAGTGAGGCTCGAACCCTCGAACCTGCAATCTCATGATTACAAGTCTGATAGCCTAACCACAAGGCTACCGACGCCACCCAGGTCATATGATTGTGAGATGATACATAGCATCTGTAACAAGAACATAACATCCTGGCAAACTCATTCAATAACTGTCTTATTTTGTTTAGTTTAAGTAAGCGCTTTATGGCAATTGCTACGCAATTAGTTCAGATAAGTGCTCGAGATTAGAGGTGTTACAAGAGAGTAACATACACAGATAAGGAGAGATAAGGACAATAGATGTTTGATAAAAAAAAGAAGGAGCAAACCACATCAGAGCATCCACCAACCAGCCGCAACTGTCTTATTGATACCCACGTATGTAACATGTTCTCACAAACAAGGGAAAAAAACAATAACTGGACTTTTTAAATTCACACATTAAAAGCATGGAAAATGAAAATTCTAAGGAACATACATTTTGGCAGAAAGACAATTTACATCCACTCCAGAAAGAGAGAGCTTGTCTTCTGGTTATTTTGTGAGATCCAGAATACATTACATATTACAATGAATGCACACAATTTGAGGGCCAGGAACCTTTCCACAGAAACACACATATTCAAATTCAGACCAGTTCTGCTTTTCATTCTAGTGGGTAGAAACAATCTATAGGTTTTCTTTGTGTTTATTTAATAACTGTAAGTGTTTTATGCCCGCGACCCACACAAATTTACACCTGACCAGGCTGAGAAGGATACAACTTGTCAGCAGAAAGACAGGAGATACTGCATAAAAATCCTCCCCACACTTGAATCGAACTCAAGTCTTCTGCATGCAACAGTGAAGCACCAAACCACTACATCAGAGACATTGATCAATTTATCTGTAAAGATAAAAGTGACGACAACATGCACTATAGTTCTAGACACGAATAATGGACTAACACTATCCCTGCCACTCACAGTGAGACCAGAAGTTGTGGTTGTGTTTCCACAGACATACACACCACGTGGGGCCACAGACGTTGCTGACTGGAGCATCTGTAACAAGAACATAAAGTAAAAGAAATTAAATGAAAAGTAATAAAGTGAATATTTCAAAAATGCAAGTCAGTCAACAGAAAAACACTGGACTTTACTTTTACTTTAAACAAAAAATACTTACTGATTTTCTAGCTCTTAACTCCTCATCTACGGCAAGCCACTTCCAGCAACTTGTGGTTGGAACCGCTGTGCCTGTGAGCCGCTATGATGACGTCAACGTCAAATTACTTTTTGGGGATTGCCGAAAAAAGGTCTCTTTTTTTGGGAGTTCATTTATTAGATGAAGAACTATCAAAATAGGTTCACTAACTTTGATTTAATGACGTATATGTCACTATTAGATTTCGTACTGAGAGAGGGGTCTGGTATAGTGGGTTTACACCCCTTAGAGATAAAGAGTTAAAAAATCACAACTGAGAATGATCATTGATGTCTATGAGTCACCTTTATGTTGCATAATATATACTATCTCTTAACAGCAAGAGAGGTTTTTCTCTGGACATGCTCTGCACAAAACTTTCAAGAATATTTCCATTGTCAGTCAAGTTTCATTGATTTTTTTAACATTAAAGAATCACTATATTTAGCAAACTCATCATACCTGACTCTTACCCAATCCTGGGTCTCCAACCACTAGAATGTGAGGGTCTCCACGTACTGGGATTCTGTTCTGCAAGACCAAAAAAAACCCCCTCCCAGTGATTAATATTTGTAATTAGAAGAAAAACACAAGGGGAAAGAATAAATATTGTTCAGAAAAATGTTCTTAAAAGATAATTCAATTAAATAAAAGCTTAAGAAGTAAAGTCAGAATTAATTAATAATTTCATCTTTTTCCTTTTACTACATTCAGAGTTCTCTGTTTGAGTTTAGTTTTAGTAAGAGTTTTACGGCACTCGCAACACAATAAGGTCATTTAAGTGCCGAAGATTAGAGGTGTTTCAAGAGAGTAACAAAGATAAAAAAGAAGGAGGAGAGATAAGGACGAAAGATGTTTGATAGGAAAGAAGAAGCAAACCACACCAGAGCACCCGCTAACCACCCACCCACATTTTCTGTTTAAGGAACAAGAAAAACTTGAGATGCAAAGTACAAGTGTCCAACAACAGCACTGCTGTTTTAAAAGGACAGCTACTTTCAGCTTGGTCTCTATACAAAAACACTGAGCAGCACGCTTAGTGTGTCATACCCTGCAGTCTTAAGCTGGTCACTGCAAGGGCAAATTACTGCTGAACCTTGAATGTTAGTTTTTAAAAAGTTTTAGTAGAGGTTTTATGGCGCTCATAACTGCATACGGTCATATGAGTGCCAGAAGATTAGAGGAGGTTACAAGAGAGCAACAAACATAAAAAAGAAGATGGGGGGATAAGGACGATAGATGTTTGATAGGAAAGAAGAAGCAAACCACACCAAAGCACCTGCCAACCACCCATCTTGAATGTTAATATAAAAGATTTATGAAGTGATTTGTGAAGAACTCAAACATAAAACACAACTACATTTATATCAAGATTACTGTTACAATAGTCCTTGACAAGTCTAAAATACCCTATTCATTTACATAGCCTAGTAAAAACTACAGACCATACTTTCATCTGCTAATCACACACCAGTCATAGAGATAATTACATACAAACACAATCAAGTTGAGAAACTATCTCTTTTGCTCATCTTTGATCTGTTGTGGGAAACAATAGTCAACCAGGTAAAAATCCTTGAAAGAATGAACTTTTTTTTTTGGTCCAGAAAAGACAAATTAAGCATGCAATGTATGCACCCACCCTGACCCTACAGCAAACATGAGAGTAAAACAGCAGCACCTTTCGTTTTGTCTAAGACAAGGCTTCTACACTACATATACTTCACATTTGCATGACGTCAGGCTGTACATACCTTGTCATTGACAAACTTCTGACTGCTTCCAAACAAACCCAAAATAAGACCGGCTTTCACCATCTGTAGAAAAGTAATCATGCTCATGTAAGATAAGTTAAGCCCTATTGTTCACTCCTCCGGGGGAAGTTGTTTTCTCTTTAAAAAACCCACAAAAGCACTTGACAAAAAAAAATTGCAGTTACTTGTTCATGTAAGTGGGTGGAAGAGAGCCAGGAGAAAACAAGGGTAAAGCAAATATTAAAAATCAAAGCTCATACCACTCACAAACAATACTAGATGAGAAATTACTCCCCCCCCCCAAAAAAAAAACAACAACAACAAACAACAACAAAAGAACAACAAAATTCCCCAAATTATTAAATGAGTAAGCGAATTACACCGGGAAAAAAGAATACCTAGAATGAGAAGGTCGTCATGTTTTTCTCTCTCACCAGCTCATATTCTATAAGTTGGGTAAAATCATTTACAGAAATGGAAAACTAAATAAATTCTTCATTTATGAAGGGGTACGTCTTAAATACAGTTTTTTAACCCTTGATCATCTCGTAAAAGGTGTGGCAGAACGCTACTCTCCCACTGCTTTTTAGTTTGGTGGCACGCTTCACATTCATCATTGAACATCTGACCTCTGAAAGCGGAGGCTTTTGTCTCCCCAGGTCAACAAGAGGTTTATATATTCACCAGCAGCATGACCAAACTTAGCTAGAAAGGGCAGAGGTGACAATTGCAGGAGGTGGAAAATCAAATTTAAAAGGAGCTGAGGAACTCACCTCATGTCCGAAGATGCTGGGACATAGAGAGCTGAAAAATAAAATAATTAAAAACATTAAATTCATTTCGTGTTATATTTATTTAGTTGTATGCATACCCTGTAATTTTTTCGAGAGTTGTCTTATTTAGGTTGAATCTGGTCAAACCATACACCAGTAGTGAGTGGACCACATTTCTCTCCAAATGACCAGAAAGTGACTTAAAAAGAATGTAATGACTCCCATTATTTAGTATATGATTAAGAAATTGCAGAAACATTTCAAATGATAAACGACACTATGCCATGGATACAAACCATTTGTTTTCGTGTAACAGAGTAAAACTTTTCACTTTATAGGTTAACTTAGTATAATTTCTTGTTACCTATGCAAAGTCAGAACCCCACATCAAATGTGCTTACAGAGGGATGAAATGGAAATTTAAAAAATTTTAAAATCCCTAAAGAACAAACAAAAACCAGGAAAAGAACAGTTAAAATACCCCCCCCCTGCAAACACATCCCCCCCCCCCCCCCCAGGAACTATAACAAAAAGTTTTCACTCACTGAACAAGGAGCTGGAATAAGTTCTCTTGGCTCTGGATCTCCTGTATGGCGTAAAGCTCTTTCATAGAGAAGTCCATGGCCAGGCCAGAAGAGTTGCCACTTTCTTTGGCTGCCCGCTTGCTGTTGCCTTTAGCATTGGTCACAGAGTTGCCATGGAGATACAGCAGGAACATGCACTTGTCTTTGTTCTTGCCACGGCCTGTGAGTGGAAGTGTACTACTGCATTCTACATACACATTTTAAAACTAAAAATAGCTTAATAAGGAGAAAAAGAAAAGAAAGGACAAAATATCTATTGTTTGTCTAATCACCTCTCTCTTAAGTTATTAATAAATTTGAAGGACAAATGAGACTGCAAAATTAACAGCAATCGTCTTTGTTCACTCTAAGTGAAAATATTATTTATCTTAATAGTCATGGTCTGCTCTAGTGAACTACAATGTTCATGTTCAACCAATGTTCCCCATATAAAAAAACAAAATGACAACGTGGAAAAAGCTGCGCTCAGGCACTGACCTTCCTCCACACTGTTCACCTTGACTATGCCTGTGACAGTCACGATATCTCCAGGTATGCAGCTGTCCACTGTGAGAAAAAAGTAAATGGGAATTAAAAAGTATTTTAAAAAAACATGATACAATAGTGAGGGAATAAGTGAATAACCTGCAAGACATAAAGATTGATGATCATATTATTAAAGAACAAGTTTAACCCCCCCTCCCCCCCTTCTTCCTCAAACCCATAACAATTTAAGCAGAAAAGCATAAGTCAAATGAATTAACAGAGAAGATAGGTCTTTAGGGAGAACCCATTTAAAAACAGCACTTGGATAAAACTTAAGTTTTGACAAAAGATGAAGCTTGATACAAAATAAGTGCAGACTTAGTTTTAGAATGTCACATGGCAACCTGACCCCCCCAAAAAAAAATTTAAAAAACCAAAAAAACCAACTGACAAATAAAACAAATCAGAAGTTCAGCATGGTTTTGCAATTCACCTAAATCTCGGGTAAGTTCACAGTCAATTGTTCTCGGGATGCGGCCAGCTTCTTTCTGGCTATCAGACATTATTTCTTGAACTCTGGACAAACAATTATGAAATTCATGAGTCACTGTCTTTAAAAAAAATAAAGTCAATGAACAACATGAATATGAATATTGCATTTCTCGCCGTACATTTACACATTTTATTAAAAGTCAATCTCTATCAAACAAACAAGCTTGAATATTTTCATTTTTCTTTGCAAAAAGGAAGAATCAGAATGAAATATATCCAGGCTACTTACACAAATACAAACTGATGCAACATACACTTAAGGATAGCTACATATAGTTAGTAGGAAACATATGGCTGAGTGAGAATACTAAACCATCTATCATTAGCATATTTAGACTTCTGGCAGGCAAGCCAAGACCTGATTTCAGTACTTGCTATGGGCAATATTCAAATACACCACCCATGTCTATTTTCCTGATTTCTGAATATTTCCAACAAGCAATGCAGGTACTTAATGCAAGAAATGTGTATAATCCAAATACATCATTTTAAAAACCAAAAGGCTGTAATGATACTGACATGGCACATTCACAAAACGTTCTGTTTTTGCTCAAGTAACCCCAGTGGTTTCAACAGTAGGAGACATAGCATACAAGAAGGGAGCACAAAGAAGATGGTGTGGGGAGTCCATAACAATTAACACCAACATTTTATTCAATGCATTCATACACACTTTTTATTTCTACTCTGGGATTTGTATTTGAATTATAATTGAAGTGAGAGGGGCAAAAAATCTCAGTGACATAATAAACTGAAACTTAAGCATTACTTTAGTACATGTTTTGCATTCCCCACAAAAATATTTACGCATGCTACAATATTATGACACATGACTGACAATTTTGCCAACATGGAAAGAGTCTGAATCTAATGACCTGATAGTCTGCCAGTCAATGGTCTCCGTCTTCTTATGACTTCGACAAGGAAAGAATGTCCTCCCCCGGCACTCATCAGCAGGACACTGAAAGTGGGAAGAAAAAAGGCACAATCTTTATCCAGTTTTCAGAATAGAAGTGACAAAATTTAGAAAGCTCAACTTTGTGAAAATTGAACTCCCTGTTGGTCTTCATATCTTTACACCTTTCTAGCCTGAATCATATTGACAGAGCAGCATGTGTTGGAAATGCACCTCTCACCATCACATGAAGATACGAAGAGGTGGTGGTTTCCTTACGTCCACTGCCATATAGTATATTGTCACATCTAACTTTAAAGCACTCATGCCATCAAATAGCAGTGAGAACATAGCCTCCTCCTGTGGTACCATATATGGAAAAGCATGCAAGTACTAAGCACAGGATAAGCATGAGTGGGCATGGATTTTCTGGTAAACATAGGTTCAAAATTTGTACAAGAGTGAGTCTACATGTTCTGAACTCCTGCTGCATATTGTTCTTTAACTTAGAGTTGCTTTAGTTTATTTCAGTTTAGTTATAATTTGAGTTTTATGGCACTTGCAATACAAATAGGTCATATGTTCCATGGATTACAAATTTAACAATGCAAAAATGAAGTACATACCTTAGTTGGCACTGAATATTTTCCATCTGGTAAAGACACAGCCTGAAGAAAATAAAAAAACAGAAAAGAAATGAGATTTCTGTGATTATTACTTCATTCTTTAAATTCAAGCAATCCATTCTTCTCCTGAATAGCACAGGGATCACATTTACTTACTCCATCAGAACATTCTTTTCCTTGACGGAGAGATTCTCACACAAACCAAAACCAAATGGTTAAAATAAGTTCCTAAGACAAACGTGCTTACATATTGTAAGTATTATCTAATGATGACGATGACTCAAGAAACAATCACAATTGCGACACAAAAAACACAAAATGTAGACTGTCATTAACAACTAACCTTCTAATATGAGAGAAGCTGGGATTAGTCTCGTTCCTGGTTTCATGAAGTGGCAAAATGTATGTTTTAGTTTTAGTAGAGGTTTTACGGTGCTCGCAACTGTATAAGGTCATATGAGCGCCAAGGGGTGGATTTCAACAAAGAAGTCCTAACAGGGAATCAGGTTTATCCTGCTCACCTCTCTAGCTTCAACAGCACAAAGTCTGCTTCGACTATCAAGGCACCCTGAAAATAGCGGGTCACAAGAGTGTGACAAACATGCAAAAGAAGTAGAGAAAAAATGACGATAGTAAGGAATAGGAAAAAAAAAGCTGCAGTTCCCTGTTGCAGTTCAGGCACAGTTATGAGCATGACATTGATGAATCAGCCCATTTACAATTCTACTGTGCATAAGAACATGTTAATGTTTCCGCTTTGGGAATGGCCTAAAGACACTTCAGTCAGTAGCACCGCCCCGGGGGGTTGCAAAATGTATGGACAGAGAAAAAGGAAGAAACAGCAAAGAGATGGGCAAGTAATAGTACCTGCCAGTGACAACCCCCATCCATCTACACAATGACGTAACAACACCCTGGCCCCCAAGAAACAGATATTTTCATAATATGCGTATACTTGTAAAAATATTGAACTAAATAAAACTGACAAACACAATATAAGCATCAAAAGTTTGAGAAAGGGAAATGTTCATGGACACATAACAGAGGAGACCCAGTCGTCACATACCTTTAGGGAGAAGTTGAGCAACATCATATCCCCCCCCCTCCCCCCAATTTGACCGCAAGAACTTACCTGGATAAAGGAGCAGCTAGCACATTGAAAAGCCATTGTTGTGCACAGTGGCTTAATGTTCCCTACACGCACTACAGTGCCCTTGACACACACAAACTTCCCTGAAATGTCGAATTTTGTTTAGTTTTAGTAAGAGCTTTACGACACTCGCAACACATTAAGGTTATATAAGTGCAAAAGATCAGAGGTGTCACAAGAGAATAACTAACACAAAAAAAAGGAGGAAAGATAAGAACGATAGATGTTTGATAGGAAAGAAGGAGCAAACCACACCAGAGCACTCGCCAATTGCCCACTGAAATGCTGAATGACATTCACAAAAAAAATCAAGAATGGTATGGATATAATTCTCTTTTAAAATCGTACCTCCCAAGTGGTAATATTTGCAGAAGAAATTTTTTCGACATAAATACTTTTTAAAAATAAATAAGAGCTTTATGTGGTAGCAAATCAAAATTGCTATTTTTCAAAGATGATTAAACCATGGCTGGTATTACTCCGTACCAGCTAAAGCCTTTGTCTGTAGTTGGCAAAATCTTATATTATGTGTTTACGAAAAAGAAAATTTATAAGCACCAGGCTAATGTAAATATCTTTGAAGAATGTGCTTGACAGAGGCATTTTGGACTGCAGTTTTTTAAGTTACAGTTTATGGCAATCCAGTTCAATAACAATCATATTCCACCAGGAACACATTGGGTCAATAGAAACACCGAAAAGAAACATAACTCTTCAGGGGTTAAGGTTAACCTAATAATGAAACTGGAGGAGGCTGGAGGAAAACAGCTGGGTACAAGAAAAAAATGAAAACAAAATAACTCTCCCCCCAAAAAAAAAACTAAACCCAAAGGGACTATCTATATAAAGGCAAAAAAGTCAAGCCCCCATCACTATTTTTTTACATTGTACCATAAAGCCAGCAAGCCAGCCAGCCGGATAATGATGACATTTCATCAATAATAGTATTAAACAAGGATAACAGATAACAGTAACTGAGTAACATTGATGAAAAGTGTAAGGTGGGGACTGCATCAAAGTACTCACCAACTAACCAGATTTCAAACAGCCCCCTTATTTTAAAAAATTAAAAGATTACAAGGAAGCTAGTGTAGTACCATAGCAGTTTGCTTTGAAGTTTTTCAGAGCAAGGGGAGATCCAAAGTTGGTTATCCTTGCATTTATCAGAGGTGCACAAAAGTCTTCTATGTTATCTCTCGCTCCTCCCAACTCTTCCTCTAGAGCTTGAGCCTCCTGCTGATGTTTGTGAGTCACAATCTGAAAAAAGTGGCCACAAGAAAAGACAATTATAATTTGGGAATCTAACAAGCGAAAAAAAAAGAGCAAATCATGCTTTTAATATATCCACCAAATATTTTTCACAACAGCAGAGCTGAGCTGAGCTGAGCTGTGGAAAGCTATGAGTCACCATGGCCAGGGTGTACATTTCTCCAGTAACAGTATACATAAATTCAGGGAACTGAAAACAAGTATAAGCTGACTAGACAAGATGGCCAGCCAATTACCGATTTTCTGCACAGATGAAACGTTCAATGTTCAGTAAATCTAAACGGAGTCCCTTTAGGCATGGCAAGCGTGAAAGATGACACAAAAGTAAACAACCCAGCAGGAGACAAAGTGAGAATACATTCTGAGCGATACACACATAGTTAAACATGATGGAAAAGCAACAGTGCTGTTGCAAGCAAAAGAAAAGAGAAGAGAAATATTTATTTGAACCCATTTTACAGGGTGAGGAAAAAACTGTGAAGTTACCTATTTTCCTTGTGACAATAACAATATATATATATATATATAGGACTTAGACACTAAATAGCATTCAAAAAGGCAAATATGCAGTCAGTTACCATCACTGACCAACAACCATACATACAACAATAAATTTTGTACATCAGTACAACTCTCATTAAGCACTGAGATAACTCTATCAATACCTGGTGCATTGCTAAACCAAGGCAGGCAATCACATTCTCCGGGGAGTCCCTCAGTTCTGATTCTAAAGCAGGACATCCATCCTTTATGACTGGGAAAACAAAAAAATTATGGCACAGGCACAACATTACACATGAACACTGGTAAACATATTTTCATTCAAAAACCTGAAGAACAAGCAAAAAACCTCTGACACTAATCAGCATTCCATCCACATAATTGAATAGATGACTCTACTCATATTGACTCATACTTTTCAGTTTGGATATCACATAATGAAGGTTTTGTAGTACTAAACACCTACAATAGTTATTGCACACAAAATGCTCTTTCTGTTTTCTTCCTACTTGTCTCAACTCAAATCTTAAAAAACATGAAATTTCAGAAAAAGATGCCCTTACTATTGTCTGCTGTCAGCTCCTTGAAATCAATGATAAAGAAGCCTTTCTGTTCGATGTCATCCTGAAAGGCAAAGTATAATAATTTATGATACAGCTTGCTGAGAAGTGCAAAAGATACTTGAACATGAAATGAACATCAAAACAAACAAATGTTGCTGATAAAAATTCATTCCAACAAAATGCTGGTAGCGTTAAAAAAACCACAACCCCAATGAGTCATTGTTATTGTAAATACACATTCAAATCAAAATACAAAACTGATTCCTTACCCAATTGTATAGCTTGTTCCAGCTGACAAAATACTTCTCAAATAACTGCACTTTCTCAACAACAGGAGAGTGGTCTGAGTAGCCTTGATTAGGAAAGTATAGAGTCCAGCCAGCATAAGGTGATGCTACCTCCAGACGTGTCTGAACAGGTTCTCTATGCAAAGCACCTGAAGGGGAAGGGTCATCCATTAGTCGGGAGGAAGCTCCATTGTATGAACCACGACTGGACCCAGCACCTGGGAGGACAAGTATGATTTTTTTGACTGGAAAGTGATTTTCTTAATTAGATTTGAATATAGTAAAATTTCCACCAATATGAACACCACTGGCAATAATAAGTAATGATAACCGCAATGTTATATAATACAATTAACATGACAGTAACAGAGTTGTAAAACAAACAGGACATCATACATCATAAGGGATGGTACAAGATGATAAGACACATACTGATCTCATAGAGTGAAAAATCTCTTTCCTATGAACCAACCCTGCCCAAGACTTTTCTTTACACCTTGCAAACTTTACCACTGATGGAGTGTAGCTTTTTTTTTTTTGAGGCCAAGGAAATGAAAATGGGAGAACACATTCTTTGTCTCTAGCTCTTACGACGTCTGAATTTCAAAATGTGAGTGGCACAAGTAAATCTAATCTTTACACAACCATCAAAATTTTGGTTCAATTTTAAGTCAACACATTGATCAGACAGAAAGTTATGATGGTTTATATTATATGACAAAGAGATTCATGTGATGTACTTTATAGCATTTACTAAAGAAATAAAGTTAAGCCTATTTTTTAAATAATGACCCTACTTCTTCAAAAGACTTTCCTGTGACATCTCTGAAATGCTCAGATTCTAAAAAAGTCCTGAATCATATGGTTTTGCACCCCCCTAAGCCTTACCGCTTTTTACATCTTCACAATTAACTCCCTGATCTGTCTATTCACTTCCTGTACGGTACCATTTTGCCCCACTGGAAACAATAGCATGGCAGTTAATTATGTGCATACTCCTATTACCTTACTGATTGACAAGTACCAATCTGTAGTTGAGGCAACTCAGGATAATAAAGAAAAAGTACCATTTTTAAGGACAAAGCATTTTATCTCATGGAGCTGGCAATTGAAATAAAAACTTTTCGCAGCAAGTCCTACTCGATACAAACATGAAGCAAATTTTATATATGTAAAAAAAAACAACTTGTTTAAGCAGAGGCAATTCTGGTATAAGCTGCAGCTTGAGTAAGACTTTATCAAAACTTTGCTTCAAACGCAAGTCCCTGATAAAGAGTAAAATGTTAATAACCATGTAATACCTCTATTGGTGTTATTATTGAATCTGCCTCCTCTCCATCCCCGATTGCTGTTACTGCCTCCTCTCCATCCTCGGTTATTATTATTATTGCCTCCTCTGCCTCGCCACCATCCTCTACCTCTGTTTTGACCTCTGTAACCATTCCAGCTCCCACGACTTGATCTGACATTTCCTGAAGATTGACTCATCTCAAGTCACTCAAGACATGCCTTCCAATTTCCTCTTGTCTACGTAATCTGTATTGCATGAAAATTGAGAAAAATCAACACAAGATTAAAAACATAAAAATATTAACAACACAGACACTGGAGTTTTATAGCTACTTATATGGTGTGGCCACGGGTACCAGTGGCATCAAATCAAACAGGCCATTTCCACTCTAATGGAGACAGCCTGCTTGGTTTAGTTAGCAAAGTAAGAGTATACCCGGTGCCCATTTGCAGGATAGGATTTCCCTTTTTTTTGGTATCAAATTCAACTCAGACGCTAAAGCAGAGGGAACTTCGACATTCGGCATGGCGTTGTTCTTCACAAAACTGCAGCGCCCCGTCCCCTCGTGCTGAAGTTGAAGTGAGATTAAAACAACCAAACCAATAAGTTAATAACAATAAGAGTGGAGTAACAGCAATGCTGGTCATTTTATTCATAGATAGTATAGATCTAAATATGATGCAGGCAAAAGTGCAACTTGCCGCAATATAGATCTAGATATAGATCTAGAGTCTAATCTTATATTATTTTATTCGGTAGTTCCCACCCCGCATTTGTTATTCGCCGGTTTTGGCCCCAAGAGTAGGGGGGTTTCAGGGGGGCTTGCCCCCCTGACCTAATAAAAACAAGGTGGGGGGTTTCAGGGGGGCAGTTGTTAGGTTTGACATCATAGCTTGCCGCGAATCAAACGTATATAGATCTAGATGTAGGTCAGGCTCTATCAAATAAGGGGGGTGGGAACTACCGAAAAAGCGCCAAAAATTATTTATTGCAGCTCTGACTGATTGACTGAGGTCGAGGAGAATGAGTGAGACATCTCTTCTGCTCTGACTCTTCTACTTCTAGAATCGATATCTAGACAATCAACTTCTAGATCTAGAATCTAGATCTAGATATATAGATCTATTCATCAGGCATGACAGACCTGTTTATAATTATTATAAACATCTAAGATCAGATATTAGATTCTATGATTTGGATATAAATCTAGAAATTTAAAATCTTGTACATGATCAAGAAATTATTGTTTGTACATACCGCCAACGACAGGAAGAGACCCGCCCGGCAACATCAGTGTCCAGATTTCGCCAAGAAAAGTAAGTCAAGATCTAATAAGAGTCTCACCAATGATAGTACATAACTATCATTGGTCTCACTGAAACTGAAACAAAATGAAACCTTTTTCCTATGCTACATTTCTGGTTTTAAAAAGTACCTAATATGCTGCAAAAATCGAGGACGAAAATTTAACTCTGAGACTAGAGTTTTAGTAATTTTCGGTTTTATAATAAAATCTTTTCCTTTCATACTGAATTCGACGAACAACAGAATTGGCAAACAGAATGTTTACGTCCGTCCATATCCGGGTTACTCGACTCGTGGGCAATGGCTACATTTGACCTTTGACCTCGTTTGGTACACACCAGAGAGGTTTCACAGAAGGCCTAACCAGAGAGGCTAACACTAACAGAGAGGTGTCACTCCGGCTCCGGGCAGCGGGAAATTGCGCATGCTTTTAATCCTATTGTCAAAAAGTTCACAGGAATTTTCAAAAACCTGTTGGAAAATTGCGCAGGGATTTTCCGTATCGCGTATTTCTTAGGTATTCGACAACGTATCGACTTTCAAATTCTTTAAGGATAAGCAAAGAGTCTACATTGAAGGAGGCGGTTAGGAGGCTGAAACAAAAGAATGAATTGGCTGTAGGAATTGATCTAAAATCTCTGTCTGTCTGTCTGTCTGTCTGTCTGTCTGTCTGTCTGTCTGTCTGTCTGTCTATAAATATAAACACAAGAACAGTTTTGGTGTAGAACAAAATAAGACAGTAAAGGGAACATTGACCAATAATGAGTTTCTCAGAAGGAGAACTGGCGATAATATTGAGAGCTTTCGTTTTCAGTTCTCGTCTCGTAGTTGCAAGAAATTTAAAAAAACAACCGTGCTATCAACTTTCCTTATCTCTTTATCTGTATAAAAATGCATACATGATATAAGATACGCTTGCAAATATCTTGAATGAAAGAATGAATATCTGGTTCTGGACCAAAGACATAACACGCACACACGCATGCGAGCGCTCGCACACACACACACACTCACACACACACACACACACACACACACACACACACACACACACACACACACACAGCAAGAGAGAGAGAGAGAGAGAGAGAGGGGGGGGGAGTGGAGAATTCGATGTGATATTATCCTTCCACTTACTTTCCATCCACGCTGGTGTCTCACTCTCAGCATCCGGTTGCTCATCAATGTCGACCCTGTTGTCTCTCAGGCTCAGGGAAGGTTGGTCTAAGTCCTCAGCTTGTAGTTTTTTTTTTTTCCAGTCCTTTTCTTCCTGTAAATTTACAACGACGATACAGGAAGTTGTTTGGTCGTTTTCGTACAATGTTTATCTCCACACTGTTCAAGATTTTTCGTGCATGATAATCAAGAACTCTGTTCAAACCGCTGTTATGCTTTTTGTATTTACAACCGAATACTAAAATACGTACTTAGAATAAGTTAGAACGGAAGTTTTCCGTAACTTTTCTGCATTCACGGTACAACCCTATTCAGATACTTGTGGGAGACTTCAAGGCTCGCCCAAACTAGGGCGTGTCGTGTGGGAGGGTTTTTGGCTGGTCAGTGAGTGGAGACAATGGCTTGTGGGGATGGGTTTACTGTTGGGTTACGATCGCTGAGTCAGACTTCCGTGTACTGCCAATATTGAAAAGGCCTTCCTTCGGCGGTGGATATTGTTTCGAAAAACGACTTGGTTTCTTCGACTCTACGCAGCACTGCCGAGGGTAAAAGTGAAGAGTTGGCTGGCGGCGGCAAGAATGAATCCGAATGCCGAATACATGGCGTCCCGCACAAGACGTTTGTTACCGTAAAACGAAAAGATGGTGTTTTCTGTATAATTTTTTTTGTTTGTTTGCGCCGTCGTCCCGGTCAAGGACAGAGGATAACGTAGATCGGCTGTATCGAGCAGTTGTGCTAACTGGCTTCCAAAAAAAGAGTCCCGAACTTTTCCGACTCCGTGAAATCAAGTTCACGGGGGCATAAAATTTACGAAACAGTTTACTGATATATCTCTTGTCAAGACTGGTTTTTTAAAAAAATGTGCAACAGCTTCTCAACGATCGGCCAGTCGGGCAAAATTCGGACTTTTTCAGGAATTGGATTTCCAGATTTATCCGGAAATTCGGAAGCTCTTACCGAGCTCTCGTAGAGGGCTGTATGACGCGGGGGGGGGGGGGGGGACGATCCCCATTTCGACGCCATGAGAGCGGGCTTATTGGCCGAAATCTTCTGTATTTGACCAGTTCTGGAATGTTCAAGTGCTCATGCATTGTAAGGGTAGTTCATTCACAAAATGCTGATTAACTTGAATTTGAACTTAGTTAAACATGTTTTAAACTGCACATGCACGTACGTGCGCATAGTTGCATACACCATGACAACACATAATTCTCTCAGCTAAATAATAATGAAAACGGACATATTACTTGTAACTTATTTACATCAATGATCAAGTCCGAACTGCTTTTGAATAGTCATTTTGCGAAATTAGAGATCACAGTCTTCAAAATGATGTATAACATGACTGATTTCTGAGCGTGAGGAGAGCTTTATGGCCATTTCATAATAAGGACATTTTAGGGCAAAAACATTGCGTTTTTTTCCACTTAGAGGAAAGGGGGTGTCATCTTTGTGAGTGTTTTTGAACATGTTCTGCTATTGATAGGGACATAAGACCTTTATTTTGGGAAAGTAGACGTTTCAAAGTACTCAAATCCGTTAACAGCCCAATTTTGATCTGAGACTCAAAAAGGACGTCATTTGTCTATGGCCTTCGGGGATCATGCCTTAAGCACGCTTAAGCTTTCTCCCGATGACTGTGCTTAAAGCCGGCATGGACTGTATTCCTTTCCGGAATGGCAGGCGCGCCCCTCACGTTTGACATTTGTGACGTAACAGCTGAGAGCTCTAAGTTCTATTCTTAACCCCTTTGGTACACACACACACTCATACGAACACACACACGACACACACACACACACACAAACACACACACACACACACACACACACACACAAACACACAAACACACACACTGACACATGGGCTTGCCCATTGATCATAGCGCGTGCGACTTTGACTACCCAATCTACACACTACGCACGCCATCATACACGCTGAAAAACAAACAGACTACGATTGCAGAGTGACTCAGCATATTATCACCTTTTTATATTATTATATTTTTTGCTCTCTGGAAACGAGTAGAAAGGCGAAATCTTTTCGTCTTGGCTGGCTAAACTGCTAACTGCTAAACTTTAGCCTGTACTGTAGCCACAGAATTCTACTGTAGAATTCTGTGACTGTAGCCTATAATTTGTGATCTGCTCACTCTTCTCTGCATGGACTTGGACTAGATATAGATATAGATCTAGAATCTAGACTCTAGGATCAACTCCGGCGTCGTCAGTGTGAAATTAGCAGTTTGGTTATCTCCATCACTCTGTCAGGTCACATATTTCTCGTCTACCTTGGCTCAGCAAGCAAGTGCTCACGTTTCCTTGTTCTGCAAAGACTACTATACACTATAGTTATACTCACCAAAAGTCTAAACATGCCGCTCACCAGTGATGAAGCTCAAAAGGCTTGCGCACCTCCTCCACCTGAGACAGAGGTAAATTTTTATTTTGCAGTTATTAGACTAGAATCTAGATGTAGATCTAGATAGAGGGAGGAGTTCCGCAGAGGGCCGGCCGACCAACAACGTACAAGAGATGGGATATTTTGAGCGGGGTATAGAGTCTACCCTAACCCTAGTTTTTTATATTTTTTATATCTTACCTAGATATCTAACCCTAGTCTGGCCCTAGAAGCGGGGGGATACCAGCTGAGGCTGAGATACCCGAGATGTATACCTGCTACTGAAAAATGACCATTCACGGCTCCACAGATGATAAAATTAAAAGGCATATAAAACCATATAGAATCTATATCTTTTCTTAAAGCTGATAGAATTAGCCATTCAAAAATGAAGCAATCAAATAAATACTTACAAAGCACAAAACGAAACGCGATATAAACTCAACCAATTAGTAATCTACATCAGCACGGCGAAACAAGTGATAACACATAGAGACATAGTGTGCAGTCGCTCAGCTGGAACCGCGTCACTTTATCGGCCTATTATATCTCGGGAAGGACTTCCGTAACGAGCGACCACCCCATCAAACACAATAAAGAAGTGGCCTAGACCTACCCCTACCCCTACCCCTACCCCTACCCCTACCCCTACCCCTAACCCTAACCCTACCCTTACCCCTAACCCTACCCCTACCCCTACCCCTACCCCTACCCCTACCCCTAACCCTAACCCTACCCTTACCCCTACCCCTACCCCTACCCCTACCCCTACCCCTACCCCTCAATTCTGCTCTGTCTCATAGTGGTCGCTCGTTACGGAAGTCCTCCCATATCTCGGCCAAAAGACGCTCTACAACGTCAAGATAACTTGCAAAGTCATTGGTCACTATTTATAACTTTGACCTGTAATTTACTAGATCTAGATCTACGTCCTTTTCCAAATAAGGAATACTGAAATTTCCCATTGAAAAAGGTCAGCGTCTATGCCCTTTATATTGGGCCTGCGGGCTTCCCGGTCAAAGTAGGTCTGCCCTATTATATAGGGCCTGCGCGTTTCCCAAGTAGCCTGGCTCATGCCCTTTATATGCTTGCGCACTTCCAGGGTCCTAACCCTAAACCTAAACAAAAATACTACTCACCCTAAGCCTAGCCCTAACCATTACTCTTGAATTTGAATAGTTTGCTCAGTGGACCTTGTCACGGTTAGTAAGTGCCGACCCTCTGCGGAACTCTTCCCAGACTAGATTAGATCTTCAACTTCTAGGCTATCTAGATTTAGATCTAGATAGTAGCCTTTGGATACTGGGCCTTCTGACTAGGCATGATAATGGCAAAGGTTAAACTGCAGTATATTCTATGCATTTCAACAATTTAAAAATCAAAGTGACTATTTCTTCTCTGAACGCTTGGGAAAATTTGACCTCTATTTCTCCGAATGATTTAAGTTCTTGAGATTTTTTGATTATTTGCGAGAGTTTGGCGTTGTCTTTTATTCTGCCATTCTGCGAGGACTGGGAAGAAGAATTTTTTCCATCGAATTCAATTTCTAGAGCTAGAGATTTTTAGATGTCTGAATATTCAGATACTTCAATTGTGGTTGGGGCAAGGTTCCCGAACTATACTTCATTTGAAATTACCTTCAAAAGTTACTGTGGGAAAACAAGACTGCTCGACTTTGGCAATAACCTATTTTGCATTTAGTCACCTCTAAAGCAAAACCTAAAAAAAAAATTCCCTCCTTGCCCTCCCCCCTCACCCCCGTTCACACCTTACACACTCACACACACACACACACACACACACACACACACACACACACACACACACACACACACACACACACACACACACACACACACACACACACACACACAAACACACTCACACACACACACACACATACATACACACTCTTATTCATTGAACATACACACATGTGGGTGGTTGGCGGGTGCTCTGGTGTGGTGTGCTTCTTCTTTCCTATCAAACATCTGTCGTCCTTATCTCCCCTTCTTCTTTTTTATGTTCGTTACTCTCTTGTAACACCTCTAATTTTCTGGCGCTCATGTGACCTTAAGCAGTTGCGAGCGCCGTAAAACCTCTACTAAAACTAACTATACATATACTTACTCACACACACACACTCACACATGTGCGCGTGCCTAGGGCCACTACATTCGCAAATAGGCTTTAGAAGGCTAACCAAAAAATCTTGAGAACGGAAACCGTTCGGAGAAATAGAGACCAAGTTTATTTTCCCAAGGGTTCGGAGAAACAGAGCGTTGTTTGTCACCATTTGTTGTAAGGTTAGGTGCTTCACTGTCATGAAAAGAGGTAAGTTTGATCCCTGAGTCAGGAACATTTTTACTGAGTATTGGTCTTTTTTCTGAGATGTTGTATGATGTGTCCCTCTCAGCTCGTGTGTAGTGCTGTTACAGTGACAGAGTCGTCTAGCCCACCTCCTAATTTTGTGTCAGTGGGGACGTAAAGATAATGACAACAATGTAAGCCTATTGTTTGAAAAACCCACCGAAATCCACCCCTCTCCTTAAAAAACAATATTTTTTTTTAGAATCCCAATAAAAATTCTAGCAGAACTGTTTACATTTTTCCCCTTCATTATAGTAGCCTGCTGTTTTCAATGAACATTATGCATGTGTTCAATATAATGTTTTTGATCCTATTTACTGAGAGTAATAGCGTGGATAATGGTCTAAGTAAAGCATTACAACACTACCCTTTAAGCCTCATTTTCATTTTGTGCAGCCAAGGCATCTTTTTGAAGTTGAAAATAAGGTTTCCCTTTTTTATGCAGTTACAAAAGTGAGCAGCTCTGCTCATACTAAATAATTAAACTTATTGAAAATACAAAAACAAGGCCTAGCATCTGACCTAAATAGTAGGCTTCACACCCCTTTTAAAATAATATCTATTCTTTTTAGTATCACTCTGCTTAACAACACGAAATCTGCTTTACGTGAAGAGAATCTTTAGTCCAATGAAGTTTAGTGTTATGTGTCAGGGTTTACTGTGTAATAGTATGCACTACTACTGGTGCCATTTTGTATGTAAAAAGTAGTGTTCTATGAATTGGAATGATTTTTTAAAAAGAGACCTAGTAGATTAGAGTGAAGAAATGTAAAATCAGAGTGGATGCTGATCATTTTTGTGAAGTCCCTGTTGGCAAGTTGGCAAGGCAGTGCTTCTGTCATGGGAATGTCATCTTACCATCCAGGCTGCTCTTCAGTTATAGTTGAGTTTTTTAATATGATCATGTATGGTTTTGGAGTCAAATAATATACATACGCTAGTTCTCTACTGTGATGATGGCTGTACTAGTGTTGTGCATGAGTCAGAGCTCACTGACACTGTCTCTTTACTTTCCACAGGGATTTTTCTTTCAGCAGACCATGTTGAGAATAAAAGACCCAAAGAGATCCCTTGATTTCTATTCAAGAGTTATGGGCATGTCGTACGTTGAGTATCTGTTTTTTTGTTCGTTTTTTTGGTCAAATTATGTTGTCATACTTTTTTTACACATAGAACAGATGTTTCTTCAACTAGATCTAGTACTGTTTGAGTTTTAGAGTTTCATGGCACTTTCAACACAAATAGGTCATATAAGTGCAGAAGATTAGAGGTGTTCCTGAAAATTAAGTGCAGAAGACTAGAGGTGTTCCTAAAGGGTGACATACCTAGAACAGGAGGAGGAGAGATCAGGATGAAAGATGTTTTTCAAGGAAAGAAAGATCAAACCACATCCTCCAACCACCCACAAGTAGAGGCCTACCCTTTGCAGGCGTCCTGCATAATATGACTAGTTAAAATGAGAAATTTTGTTTATAGGTATGCCATCAAGATTAGATATTCATATCCTATCTTAATAGGATTTTTCCTAAAAATAACACTCACTACCCAAAATACGATAATATCTTCTCATGCAGATTGTGTGTTAATTCCCCTATGATGATTGTTTTCATTGTTTGAACTAAAATTTTTTGCACGAATATGTTTCGCCTAGGCACAATCAAAGATTGTAAACAGTAAAGTGATTGCAATGAATAGGCCTATATTTTAGTCCCTAAATGTTCATCATTGCCTTTCTCACCCTGCACCAGGGTATAGACCACGGACAAACATTTTCCACTTTCCTCTATCCTGGGCTAAGCTCTTGATGTTATTCCGTCTTCCCACTTTTCTGTAGGCCTACATTAATTTCTGTAATCCTTCTCCTGGTTCCATGTGGTCTTCCCCTTGATCTTTTACCCTGTGGATTTCAATCCAAAACTATCTTTGTTATGCAGGTGCCTGACTTCCTGAGAGTATGTCCAATCCATCACCACCGCCTTGTTCCTACCTCATCTCTGACTGGTATCTGTCTTGTTTTCTTTAACACTTCCTCGTTGGTGACCCTGTCTGTCCATCTGATCCCTAAATGTTGGTAGAACATTCCCCCCCCCATACTCAGAAGGGGGGCTCTCGTAGCCTAGAGGTTAAGACGTTCTCCTCTCATTCAAAGGTCCCGGGTTCAAACCCGTGTAGCGACTGAAAACTTTACTTCTCTAAAATTGTCTCTTTTCACCTCCTTTCCTGCTCTCTAGCAATGCTCTGTCGTCTGCTTTCTTCTCCTCTTTCTGCCCCCACCCACTCACCTCCTTTGCCCCTTCCTCTTGGCTCTTGAGTGATAAGCAGTGCGTGGAGTGGAAGAATGTCAGCAGAGATGCAGACAGATAGTCATAAATTTTGTCCCCTGGCTATTGAACAGTGATAGTATGGTGTGGTGTGGTGTGGTATGGTATGGTATGGTATAGTGTGGTATGGTATGGTGTGGTGTGGTGTGATGTGGTGTGGTGTGGTATGGTATGGTATAGTGTGGTATGGTATGGTATTGTATAGGCAAAGATCTATGCAATGATTTGCATGCTGGTCTGTGGAACCAGACATTCCTGTATGCTAGGCTTTACACTGCAACTTGTGCTGCAAATGTGCGTGTGTGCCTGCATGTGTGCGTTCGTGCATGTGTGTGTGTGTGTGTGTGTGTGTGTGTGTGTGTGTGAGAGAGAGAGAGAGAGAGATAGAGAGAGAGAGAGAGAGAGAGAGAGAGAGAGAGAGAGAGAGAGAGAGAGAGAGAGAGAGAGAGAGAGAGAGAGAGAGAGAGAGAGAGAACGGGGGTGGGGGTGGGGGGCAGTGTGCAATGTGCCATATGTCTATTTTTGTGGATTCTATAACTAGAAAGGTTAATGAGTATCAAAATCCCTTTTTCATTGTATTGTTCTAAAAGATACTCAGGAATAATAAATGATTCATTTTTTACAGGCTGTTGCATCAGTGGGATTTTCCAGACATGGAGTTCACTTTGTATTTCATGGGCTTTGAGAAGCCTGAGGATATTCCGACAGATCCTAAAGAAAGGGCTAAATTCTGCTTTTCAAGGAAAGCCACCCTGGAGCTTACACAGTGAGTTACTGTTTGATTGTACAAAGTGTACCGCTAGGTGTTATGTTCATCACCTTTTACTGTGTTTGAAGATGCTATTGATTGTTTGTACAGATGAGAGTTTCAACAGTTTTTTTTATTATGGACCGATGAAGAACTATAAGTATTCCCCCTATGTTAACTTCTTTTCAGCTTTTTTCTGCCAAAGTGTTGTAGAGGTAGGCAGTAAACATTTGCGACCTTCAAATATGTCTGTGATGACAAGGTTCTGTTTCATCGTATCCTGGGATCATGATGGAAAAAGTGCCCAGAATGAATTTGCTTGCAGAGAGTTGTACCAGAGTCTTTTACTTATAGCAGACAAGGTGAGCTCTGTGCCTCAAAGCCTTCCTCACATCAAAATACTGCACACCAGCTTCTTTTTTTATCTGTTACCAGCTCTTACCTCCCTGCAAGTGCTTGGCCCTTAAGACAACCTATTAAGTTTAGTAGAGTATTTTACTATTAAAAAAAAAAAACTTTGTCTCTAGGTCAAGTGACCCCTCCCTCCCAATCCTCACCCACACTTACATATTTTAATACTTTTTCTACCGTTCTTATTCACCAGTAATTATGGGACTGAAAATGAAGAGAAAGAGGTGTACCACAATGGAAATTCAGACCCCAAAGGTTTCGGTGAGTTAATGTTTTTAACTTTAGGACAAAAATCAATTGAAAGAGATAACTGGTAGATCAGTGCATTTCAAGAATTTGACCTAGCCCGATCACAGGTGGTGTCCATTAGCTCAGTACAGCTTTGACACTATTGTTAAGATTTTCATGAGCAGTAAAAAGGTGCTAGTGTTCAAATATTTTTCATTTCTTTAAGTTTTTCATTCACCTTGAGCCCGTACCTGTCTGAAAATAACAGTCTTTTACGGCTGAGTAAATGGTTCACAACAGGAATAATGATCTGGATGATTGTATTGATGTGAATAGGGAAAGTCATAGTGATGATGCTACCAAGAATATTGAGTGGTTGCAAGCTGCTCTTTCAACAATATATGTATAACAATGCTTATCCTAAATCAACTTTGAAAATTGAAGCATGTACATTTTTTTTGCCTGAGTTTTGTTTTATACTTGCCTGGAGTAGGCCTAATAGATAGGTAGTAAAATGTGGAAGAATATTTGCGTGATTTTTGAGGTTCTAGGTCTAAGTTTGTTGTTTTTCACACAAATTGAATATATTTTGTATGTTGATCAACAGGAATGATGGGCTATTAGTATTTTTGGCATTTTAATATGAAAGTCTTTGTTTTTTCCTTTCCTCCCAATAGGCCACATAGGTGTGGTCGTCCCTGATGTGTACAAGGCCTGTGAAAGATTTGAACAACTTGGGGTGTCTTTCATCAAAAAACCTGATGGAGGTGAGATGTATTATTTGTCCGCTGGCATGGTTTTCTTATTTCTAATGCTGTCTAGGGTTTGATAAAAGAAAAGAAAAGAGAGAAAGAGAGAGAAAAATAATTGCTTTATGTTGTTTTTGCAAGAGTGGTTGGAACAGTGAAATTGCTATGGTGCATTCTGTTTAACTCACTTGAGCCCATATACGTATATTAAAAGGACGTGCCGCTGTGTATTTATGGGATGTGCTTTATCGATTGATATCTACCGTGTTTTTCGGTTACAAGTTGCAGGAAGCGTCGAGCCAATAGTTGACCCACTTGTTTCGTTTCGTTAAAAATTTGATGAAGTTGTTTGTGACACTTTTTGAACTGTAACAAAGTCAATATCCCCTGCTTTGCGATAGAAGCTCTGGAAGGGAATCAAAGCCGCAATCGTTTTTAGAGTGGAGATAGCCTCTCAAAGACATAAATGAAACATGTTTGAAGTGTCTAAAAGGTCTTATAGTGAACTAGAAGGCTAAAGCTCCCACTATGTCTCACAAACCAACTAGAAGTTGCAAGGTCTATGGATAGGGCTGTAGCTCAGGCAATGAACAGTTTGAGTCGGAGTTGGGTGAAAGTGAAAGTAGGAATCGGAATAGCTTTATTCTTTCAAGTCTAGTAGTACTTTACACGTCTTGTAGTTTTAGTTGTGGAAACAGTAGCACTAAATCTTTTAGATACAGGTGTAACAATACACGAGGTGAGAAAAGGACAGTAGTATCTCAGTTTGGACTTCAGACAGAACTATAACCACAGGATACTGTCGTGCCATTTGCCAAATGCATCGTGTACTCCTACTGGACTCGGGATTTCATTCTTTCACACCAAACTCAACATACATCAGTTAAAATCAACTGCTTGCATGCTGTTCCTGAGTTATTCAGAACATTCTCTGTAACACATAGAAGAAGTAATATGAACAATGTATGCAGGGCAGTTATTTTCTGTTTGATGATTTTATTACAAATAGGGCGCTAAAAACAAAAAAATGTATAACCCTCAGACATTACTATTTCAAAATATTGATAAAATAAAAACGATTGGGACAAATTAGGTACTCTTTTCTCTTTCTGTGAAAACGTTTCCTTCTTTCTTTTTTTCTTTCTTTCTTTCGTTGCATTTGAAAAATTATGATAGCTTTCTCAGTTTTTTAATGGTTAACAATTCATATACCCCAAACCGTCAGGCTGCAATATTTGTTGGGTGAAAAATAGCTCAGGCTCAAGTGAGTAAATAACATAATATAAGGGAAAAACAGTGGATTCTGTTTAAACTGAAATTGTTGGATTGTCAGGTTTTGGGTTTAGAGAGGATTGCTCAAATTATTCGCAATGATTGTTGAAAGCTTAGAGTTTCAAATGCCATGCTTTCTGCAAAGTGCGTTTTTGTTTAAAAAAAATTTCTCATCTACCTCTTCAACTGGCAACAACTGCAATTTGAGCTGCAGGCTGTTCCCATTGTTTTTTCTCTCCAATATTGTCAGCTTGTTTAATCTGCCGAACAGCCACACAGAACAGACAAAAGAGTAGAAAGTAAAGTGAGAAAGAAATTCCAATACCAGTGATGTCCTGAAACAAACGACTTGCCGTCACATGCTGATGTGCTTACATAAACTAGCTTTGCACAGACAGTAAATCGGGTATGACCAACTGAAGATCACACAACAGATGTATAGTTGTTTTCCTTGCGTTACAAGCCTACACACAATGTTTGTGCCCATTGTTTGTGTGATAAATGTCAGCAAAGAGCACACTGGTGATGTCACTGTGACCCTCAGTTGACACACGTGCATTCTCATGTCTTTGCCTTCCGTTTTTTTGTTTTGAAGCACCAAAAACTTGATGATCTGCGTTACTTTAAGATGCTTGTTATTTTTGTGTTGATGTAGATGACATAATCGTTGAAATTCTTTTTGGTTTAGAAATGAGAGTATTTTGGCTATTTAATAGTTTTCTTACATTACAAAGCCAAAGATGAAAAAAAAAAGAGGATATTGTTTTCTTTCAGTTATCACTGTTTTTGGAATAACCTTGTTTGGTTTGAACGGACTGCGATGTATGTTGATTTTCTATGAATAGCTTACATTGTTGTGTACCAAATTAAAATTTTATGATTCTTTTTTAAATTGGTACATGTAGCAGTAACAGTTTTGTAAGAATTAAGTTTCTGGCATAGATTGCTTGTACTAATATTTTGATGACACTTTTCAGTAAAGTTGTTATTTTTGTGTGGAAATGACTGTCCATAATTTCTTCTTTTTCAAATTGTAATACAAACCTTGTTCTTTTTATTGTTTTTTTTCAAGGGAGATGAGTTTTATTTGTTCAAAACTTCTTTTCTGTTTCTTTTTCCAGGAAAAATGAAAGGATTGGCCTTCATTCAGGATCCTGATGGCTATTGGATTGAGATTTTAAACCCCAAATTTTAATCTTGTTAAAGAGACATGCATGGGTATAGGTAAAAGGCCAGCGTCTCTGTTGCGAGAACTTTGCCAAAGCCTGTAAAAGAACATTTGAGTATGTTTTTTATGCAATATGTTGGCCTTTATGTTTTGTGTGATCTGAAAGAAGAGGAGGATGCAGAATTTACATCTCAAGTTCTTGTAGTACTTTAAGTTATTATATTATGATTTTACAAGCCATTTTCTTTTTGTTGTTGATCTGATAGTTTTGTTACTATGCTATTTGAACTCATCTCTATTTAAAACAGTTTACGCATATTTATGCAACAAGTCTATGGCTTTAATCTTTGACTTTGGCTCAGGTCAGTGTGGTCATTTCTGCATTTTTACTCTGTTTAGCTGTAGGGCTAGTGCCTGATTCTAGAAGAGTCCACAATGCTGGTGCTTTGTCATCTAGAGTTTGTTCTTGTCCAAAGAATAGGTCATGGATACACACATCACTTTAAATTAGAAAAAAAAAACCCTTCGCATTACTTACCCTTTCCAAAACTGTTTGTGGTAATTGAAGCTTTAAGAGACCACGTAATAGTTGGTATTGAAGGACACCACTTTTCAGACACAGTGGTTAATGTGTGACATCATTTCAGTAATTACTTGTCAAGTAATGTATTATTTATGATTTATGAAAAAGAATGTTTACTCCTTTTTCTTAAACATGATTTAATTAGGTTAGCTATTTAGTGACAAGTTCTATTTTTTTGTAGCTTTAGACAATCAGTGTATATATGTGAAAAGAGCACTATCCTGTTATAAAAAAAACCCCAAAGTGATTCCTGTTCTGCCATAGAATTCTTATGTTTGAAGACCAAGCAAGATAACGTTTGATGATAAGATGGTGCTTTGGGAAATGTTGATACTACTGTTGCTTTAATTGAAAAGTGAATCCTCTTTGTTGGTCTTCTTTGAATGTCTCAGATTTGTTCTGCCTTAATAAAAGAGTGAGATATATTTCAAACAACAATGATTATTTTTTATAGTACTTTTATTTTTGTAAAGATACGCCCCCCCCCCCCCCCCACTCCAAACCACCATCACCACCAGAATCCCACTCTTTCCCATTTGAGTTGTTGGAGGATGGTACAGTGTAGCATGTTGGTCATTTTGAAGGCAGAGCACTTGGCTCAGTGGAAAGAATAAAGAAACAGGAGCAGGTGGTTAGAAGGCGCCACTAGTAGGTCCTCCTTTTTTACTTTCCTTCTGTTGCATGTTGTTACTAATGTTACTGTCTGTCTTGTCTTTCTTTTTCCTATCGTTAAATTACCATTATTGTGTCGATGTGGTTCTGTTTATTAAAAAACAAAAACAAAGGGGAAAAAGTGAAGGCTATGCACCCCATCGAAGTTATATAGCACATGTATACTTTGTTGATTGTAGATGTTTATCTATGTGTTATTTTTCCATTAGTAGTAGTAGAGGTTTTGCACCTCCTGCTGCTGTGCACTGAGTTTATTTATAGATTACCCCTAAGTAGTCAACTGAGGAAGTCAAAAAGCTTAGAAATTGAAGGACATAGACCTGTCAAGAAGATAATATTATTGCACACACTTGAAAAAAAACAACAGTACAATTGGTACTTGTAACACAAGTTTTATTTTTGGCTCACTTCCCCATCCATGTCCACCTTTATTTCCATTGGTAGTAATTAACACTACTCTAATAGTACCTTGAAGCACAAGGGTGTGAGCTTCTTTGAACTTGATCTAATCCTCAAAAAGGATGCTCAAAAAGGTGCTTGATGAGTGAGTGTAGGGGTTATGATGTTGTAATGACTTGGCACAATTTTGAGGCAGACAAAGGCCCAAGGAATGTTAGTCTTCTTATACAGTTTGATAATTATAACACATTTTGGCTTTCCATTTGTATCATGGAAGTATTTTATCCTCTCTAACAGTGGCTTGGTTCAAGGGGCCATTTACGATAAGAAAAATGTCTACTCATGCTGACACATGTTGGCCCACATATTGTTCCTGTTCCTTCCACTGTTCTATCGTTTTTGTATGTGTGTCCCCCCCCCCCTAAATCCAAGGTCCACTCAATTCAGAATTCAGAAGTGAAGGTCAAGGTAACGGTAACAGTGGCGAAGCTGGGGTAGAAAGAGTGAGGGGAACAGGACAAGAGAGATAGTATCTATCTATCTATCTATCTATCTATCTATCTATCTATCTATCTATCTATCTATCCTTCTATCCATCCATCCTTCTATCCATCCATCTGCTGTCAACAGCTAGTATCTAGCATTTTTTAAACGACAGGTTGAACAGATAAAATGGAGCGTTTTTAAGCCTTTCTTTCCACTAGACATGCATCTCTTCTGTACAAGTACAAGGAACTACTAATGCCTTCGTTGGGCACTCTTTAAGTTAAAATATGAACTCGGACATTTCTAACAAGATTATGCTCAACAAGACAGCTGCTTGTAAAACCTATAACATGTATGTATTTATTCATGTACATAATAATAATAATAATCTGCGGGCTTCTTGTTTTCATACAATGTACATAGAACATTACTACTTATAATGGGTATTTTAAGAAGTTGAAGGGAAGGGGAAAGTTTAGTTTTAGTAGAGGTTTTACTGCGCTCGCAACTGCATAAGGTCATTTGAGCGCCAGAAGATTAGAAGTGTAACAAGAGAGTAACCAACATAAAAAAAGAAAAAGGGGAGATAAAGGCGACAGATGTTTAATAGGAAAGAAGGAGCAAACCACACCAGAGCACCCGCCAACCACCCACTGGAAGGGGAAAGGGGAGTGGGAAGACTGGTGAATGGTGGTGGTACATTAGTTGCAGTGGTTGAGATCAAAATAGTGGTGGAGTATGATATGGATAGAGACATGTGTTTTGTTTTATCATGTCTTTCTTCCTGGCGAGATTCTTTTTTTTTTGTGGTAAGTTTTTTTTACGGCGCTCGCAACTGCATGAGGTCATATGAGCGCGCGGGACACATTAAACTTTTTCAGTCTGTAGGAAATTTTAAATTTTGCCCGGGTGGCGGCCGAAGCCTACTCTTATCGATTTTAGACCACCAAGGAATCTTTAACGTACGCAACTTGCACACGGGCCCTCCCAGATTTTTCGCCCTTGTCCAAGGGGCTAGGTGTAGATCTTTTCTACCAGAAGACCAGGGTGTGGCTGAAAGACAGCAGTAAGTAGGAGCCAATGAGTCGCTGCAGAAAGCGTCAGGGTCCCACAGGATATGAGGGGGTGGAGGCAGAAAGAGTAGACGAAAGCAGACGACAGAACATTGCTAGAGAGCAGGAAAGGAAGTTAAAGGAGACAATTTTAAAGAAGAAAATTTTTCGGTCGCTACCCGGGACCTTTAAATGAGAGGCCAACACCTTAACCTCTAGGACACGAGAGCCCCCTGGTGGGATTCTTTCGACACACACACAGCAAGGAAAAGATCAAGGGAGACGAATTTGAAACTACATAGACGTCTATGTATGTAAATGCATCAAACAGCAAAAACAAACATACCAAGCAAAAAATTTGGACAAAATTTGAAGAATTGAAAATATATCTATCAATAAAGACAGAAAACAAACAACCCCTGAATCTTTGCTCTATCACTGACCTGAATTTTATTTAAATAAAACACCAACAAAAATAAAACCACTAACAAACAACGTGTCCCTAAAAAACTTGTACACTCACCATATCCTCAACACTAGAGTGTAAAACCTATAACAACAATACGCTTTCAACTGTTGAAGTGAAAAGAACTAAAATGTTGTATGTGGGCTCTTCCTAATGAGGCCAGATCATTCTCATGTTGACAATTCTGCAAGCAATATTACGTGTATTATGTAGATGCCGAGTTTTAGCTGAAAAAAAAAGTCTTTCGTCAGCCGCTCGCGGTAGAGAATGTTTAGGAATGAGTTTTGCACTTCCGTCCATACAGCCTGAGTAGCGTGTACATGGTGGGGAGGTCAGAGGAGGCGAAGACTTCGATATTGGACACTCTGTGGCTCCAGCTGAGGTAAAAAATTCGGCGACGGCATCACATATATACATGTATAATGATGTATATATATGACAACAGTTCCGCTTCTGACGTTGCCTCACAAAAGTTGTCCAGGTTTCACTCTCGTATAGGAGAGTAATGAGAGTGTTGACGGCACTAGTGTTGTATACTGTCATCTTGCTTGTGGTGGTCAGCTTGGGGTTCTCCCAGATATGTGGAGACGAAAACAGACGACATAACATTGTTAGAGAGCTGGAAGGACATGAAAGGAGATTCATATTAATTATATATTAATATTATACACACACACACACACACACACACACACATGCACACACACACACACACACACACACACACACACACACACACACACACACACACACACACACACACACACACATACACTGACGGTAATTAAAAACGCACCATTTTGGATTGATTACATTTTACACGTAAGTGTATCCAGTGACATCAATTGAGGTTGACAAAAGTTCACAGGCAGCAGAGGTTACTGTTCACACAAACTTTGAAGTTCCCAGTTCAAAACTGTCAATGTGCACGTGCAACATGCAAAAATCCGAAGTGTCGACCTCAAACGTAAACTTTGTTTAGCGAGACAGATTTTTTTGGCTGTTAGGGAGAGATCATATTCGCCCATAACAAAAAAAACTGACATTGTTTACTCTGTGCGACGGATTTTTTCTGCGTAAATAATGCCGCGACTTTCCATGCAAGAATGTGAAAGGGCTATTGGAATGCTCCAAACAAGAATGGCAGCACGGCAAGTTGCCAGGCGCATGAACTGTAGCCACTCGACTGTTATCCGGTTGTTTCAAGGTAATGCAGCTAATGCAGTTACAGTACCAGCGCAAGACCGTGACATTCGCCAACGTCACCTTCGTGACAGTTTCCTGCCAGCATCGGAAACAGGTCGTCAAGTGGACGGTCGGCGTGTACCAGTACCAGAATGGACCGTGCGACGCCATTTGCTGGAAGCAGGACTTGCAGCCAGACGCCCGTACGTTGGTCCTGTCCTGACACTGAGGCACCGTCAACAGCGTTTGCAGTGGGCCAGGCAACATTTACAGTTGACACGACGCCAGTGGAGGACTATAGTCTTTTCTGACATGCTGACGGGGGGGGGGGGGGGGGCTCTCGTGGCCTAGAGGTTAAGGTGTTGGCCTCTCATTCAAAGGTCCCGGGTTCGAATCCGGGTAGCGACCGAAAAATTTTCTTCTCTAAAATTGTCTCCTTTCACCTCCTTTCCTGCTCTCTAGCAATGTTCTGTTGTCTGCTTTCAATTCCACTTTCTGCCCCCACCCTCTCACCTCCTTCGCCCCCTCCTCTGGGCTCCTGACTCTTTCTGCAGCCTTTCTACTGCTACTCCTTGGCTCCTCCTTACTGCTGTCTTTCTGCTACACCCCTGATCTTCTGGTATGAAAGATCTACACCTAGCCTTCTCGGACCAGGGCGAAAAATCTCGGAGGGCCCGTGTGCAAGTTGCGCACGTTAAAGATCCCTTGGTGGTCTAAAATCGAAAAGAGTAGGCTTCGGCCGCCACCCGGGCAAAATTCAAAATTTCCTACCAACTGAAAATATTAGGTGTGTCCCGCGCTCTCATATGACCTATGCAGTTGCGAGCGCCGTAAAACACTTTACAAAAACAAAAAAACAAAATGCTGACGGGAGAAAAAGGGTCTAGAGACGCCCCGGTGAGCGCTACGCCCACACTGTTGCATGCTGGAGGTCGACAGATGGGGAGGAGGCAGCGTCATGGTATGGGGAGCGTTCAGCGACGCATATCGCTCACCACTGTACTTCTTCGACTAGCCTGTGAATGCCAACACGTACCAGCAGGTTTTGCAGAACCACGTCGTGCCGTTATTTGGTCAACACCCAGACCTGCAGTTATTCCAACACGACAACACCCGCCCGCACACCGCTCGAGCCACCACTGCTTTTCTGCAGGCAAACAACATTGGTGTCCTGCCTT